TAATAATGCTTTTAAATTAAAATCTAATGATCCTCATAGATTGGATCTTTGTTATGAACGATTCATAAAAACAAAAATTTCATAAACGCATTGAAAAAAAAAAATAAAAAAAAAAAAAAAAAAAAAAGAAGGAGGAAAAAAAATATATAGCGTTCCCCAAGCACACATTTGTATCATGTCAAAAGTAGTTTCATGAATTGAGGTGTTGTGCCTCATCTTGCGAGAGGTTGCTCTTGTGGCTTGGTCATGGTAGATTCATTACTCATTGGTACGTTGAGGCTCTGGAGTAACTAGATGACGCTCTATGTCATGACCCGAATTAAGATTAGCGGCAGTTGATTTTCCTTTTGTAGGCTTTGTTTTAGCTTTTTTATTTTGATTTAGACAATAAAGTCCATAAACTCTTTTTGTTGTTTTTTTTTTTTTTTTTTTTTTTTTTTTCATTTGGTTGAATTTGCTGGGTGTTTTTAGTCTCTTCAAGAGAATCATGTCAGTTAGTGACTAGTTTTTGTCATTGATGTCATTGGACTAAATTCGGGGAAATTGTGGCGGTTGAAAGGGGTTATAGAAAAGTTATTTTCAGCTTTTCTGTTATCTCCAGTTACTAGAGAAGTTTTACATATACGTATGTCATATTGTAATTGGGATGGCTTCATTTACAGTATGTATCCTTTTATTTATTATTATATCATATTGTAATTGGGATGTTGTATGTCAACAGTACAATCAAAGACATTAACATAACATCTAAAGTACCAATCCTAAGAGGGCAACAAATTAACATGTTAAAAACAAACTAAAACGGACAAAAGCTGCACTAAAACTATTAGCTCATATCACTACAATTAACCATAAGTCCAAACAAAGCCTACATAACCAACATAACTGAAACTCTAAACAAACCCATGAGCCTAAAGGAACCTTACCACCACCACCACTTAAAGAGTGTCGTCGCGGCCACACTCACCACCGCATCCATAACAGTTATGGGGAAAACATGGTTTCCAACGATCTACCTACACATAACAACAAACAAATAAACGAAAACAATTACCTTGATAAAAAAACAATTGGGTGATTTGCAGCAACCTCCGTCGAAGACAATATAGACCCATATTTAGAGAATATGAGTAGTGTTAGAGAGCGAATTTTGGGAGAATGATTAGTTTGAGAACGACTAAAAGGGGTCATGGTGAACTTCAATATGAGCATGCTAAGAATAAATCACCACAAAAGGCTTTTTATTCAAAATGCCCCAGTAGACTTATTCACTAACCCAGAAGAAAAATGTGAGGAGAGATGAGGGGAGGAGGGGCAATGACGCTTCTTCCACATCCCCCTTCTATGGAGTTTTTCTTTGGGACTCACAAAAGGAAAGAGCGGCTAGGGTTCCTAAACAAAGACATTTTTATTTTCATCATAGCATCCACAATGAGATCCCTAAATCACTGTCTTAAACAAATTTTAGGGAGGAATTGAAAAAATACAACTCCTACCATGCTCCCTATCCACCTCCTAAAATAAGGATATGAGCCCCTACATGATGAGAGAGAAGATCTCTATAATATAAATAAATATTTTTAATAACATTTTTTTTTTTTTTTTTTTTTTTTTTTTTTTTTTTTTTTTTTTAATGCAAATGCATACATTTTAATTTATTTAAAAAAATAACTATTTTATTTTTATATTTGTTATATAGATGGACCAATTATATTGAATTAAAAAATATATTTATACTATTTATTACTCTCTAAACTAGATAGTATGATTGAAGTTCAAATTTTATAGAGAGCTCATAAAATATATTTTGTGTGTTTTAAGCTAAATTTTAACTAAAAAATGGGGAGCATGATTGTAGATACTCTCAGTATGTATCCTTTAATCTTTATTAATATTAATATAATAAAATTCTATCATTTTTTTATTAAAAAAAGAAAAATAAAAAGGGATCGATTGACTCTTATTTTGTGTAATAAACAAAATTTGATGTATGCAAAAATCGCTATGCTCCATGCATATAAGGTAGGCATCTCATCTGAAAAATCAGTATACTAACCGTACCGTATCAACGATTTGGTTTGGTTTGGTTTTATTTTTATTTTTATAATTTATAATTTTTCGTTCTGATCCATATCGAAGTGTTTTGTTAAAATATCGGGTAACATTATTCCTAACTCGACGGAAATCCGTACTAAACCGAACTAATGTATGTGATCTATTTTTGGTTATAATGTTTGTGTATATATAAAACACACATACATGTATACATAAGAAGTATACACATGCCTATACTAAAAAAATATACATATATGTGCAAAAATATGTGTTAGAATATAAGCCTATAATACTACTATTTTGCATTTGTCATGGTGCTATATTCTATAGATGTTTCCTTTGTTTTATTTAAGTATCCAAATACAAATATTAATATATACAAGTATACTAAACATAGAGTATATATTCCTTTAAGACTATATTCCTTGGCTAATATGCTTGTTAATAATAGTACATACATATATTCAGCTTTGTAGCTATAGATGTTTATCTATGTTTTTATTATTTAAAGATTGAATTATTATCTAAAATTACTTGTAGGATGACTAATAAGGGGGGGGGGGGGGGGGGGGGATGAGACCAATTTAAAATTATAATCAATAAATAAAAATAAACTTTAGTAGCAAGATTGATATGACTTATCAATCCTGAAACGTGCAGAGCATAAAATAAAGGAACACACATTGAATTATTTTACGTGATAAAACCCCATATTTGGGGAAAATCCACGAGAATCCTCAGTCCAAAACAAATATAATATAGAACGATGATTACAAAAAATACTCACACATTTATTCTAGACACATTCTAGATAATGTTTACCGACTTCTTCGTAACTCAATTTCTATCATAGGATGATCTTTCAACACTTCTTATGTTGAATGCAATACTTGTCACGATTGCTTCAAGCTTGTTGGAGTTCTTCCAACTCTCCTTATGTTGAATTCGATACTGGTCACGATCGATTCAAACTCACTGGAGAAAAATTGCACAACAGTCTTGGTGCCTAAACCTCCACAACAGTATTGGTGCCCTCAACCGTACGAGTCACTGAACATGCAATATGAATGATAAAAGGGTTTGCTAAATCACCAAGTAAACATGGAATACTTGATGATTTATCTCAACTAAAAACTCAGCCTTCCAAAGTTTATGGACTGAAAATATGATCGTGAAAGTTCTACGAAGAAAGAAGACAAAGGTCTAGTTTATATGAGTTTTTCTTCCTAAGAAGGAAAACCCACGTTTAAAGAAACTCCATGTTTTAACTTTTAACAAAAATCACAAAGATAGTTTTCCTATTTTGGAGTTGAGAAAAATGAAGCCAACTAATAGGAAAAGAGGAATGCTATTCACAATCGCTCTAAAGCGATTCTCACGATACTTGCTAGACATGTGTACACACGTTCCTAATGTATTCTCCTTTTTATTTTTTTTATTCTTCTCTCTTTCTTTCTCATGGTTGCCTCACACTCTCTTTTCTTCTTCTATCCATCTCTTTCTTCTTCTACTTCTGTCTCTATCTCTACCTCTCTTTTCTCCTCCTCCTGCTTCTTCTCATTCTTAACAAAGGGGCTTAAGCCCAGAGAACAGCTAAACACAAATCTTCCTATTTATTTCCTTATCTCTTATCTCTATGTTCTCTTTTTCTTCCGAGTTTCCTGCTTATTCTCTCTCCTCTCTCTTTCTTTTTTCCTTCTTTCCCTCCGCTAGTTTTCTTCTACCATTTTTGGCCATATTCACACTACTGTCCAAAAATTTTGGGGTTGTGAACCTTTCTGGGTTGTGAAATTTTGGGGGTTTCTATAATCTCTCCCTCCAGTATCTGGCATCTGGCATTTAACCAAATTTACACATAGATAGATATGGAGACTGAGAAAAAGAAGAATAAGAATAAAAGAGAGGGAGAGAATAAGAAGAAAGAGAAAAAAAATTAAAAAACATAATTTTAATCATAGGAAGTATCGTGAAAATCTAGGTTGTGTACACACATCTAGCAAGTATCGTGAAAATCGCTTTAGAGCGATTATGAATAGCATTCCTCATAGGAAAATAAAAGGGAATCAAGAAAGTAAGACATTGATAATCACACAATTAAAAACTAATTTTTATTCAATAGGATTCTTTCCAATTACCATCGTGATTTTCAATAAAAAATAATTGAGAGACAAAAATGATTTAATAATAAAAGAGAACAAGAAATAAACAAACAAAAATTGAAAAATATGCCTAAATGAGATGTATTCCAAAGGGATTTTAATTGATTAAAATCATATTAAATTCCAAAAAGCGTTCTTATTATGAGTACATGAAAAATGACATGTCTTACCCTTCAAATCAAATGTGTTATACGTATTAAGTCACAATTCTGGAATTCGAGGATTGCTTAATTGTTTCAATTTTGCAGTGTTTGGAAATCATAGATAGCAATTTTGCTTCAACCCTCTCGCTAAATGACACTTCCAAACTTATACTAAGTTTACGGAAATGCAAACACAATTTCATACTAACATTATATCTGGTAAAGAAGGGATTCCTGAATTTGACATATCTTTGTCTATTGGACTTTTTCTTGCAACTAGCATTACTAATATTTTTTTTTTCCTCAAGAGTTTTTGTTAAACGATACTAGAGTTTTTGTTAAATGATATTACCGGCCTACTAAATTAATCCGAACCAAATAAGTGGTTAACCGATTAGAACGGGTAAAAGTTCTAATAATTAATTAATTAAAGAGAAATTGATCTACCAAAACTTTTAGTTTAATGAAGGCTAAATTATTGAAATGCCCCATGAAACTCAATTTCAATCTCAATTTCCCCCCATAAACTTTAAGTGTCTCACTTTCCCCCCTGAAACTCCATATTGTCTCACTTTGCTGAGATTCCATCTAGCCCTAACAGAAGTCGTCAAATTTGCACACGTGAGGCCCATGTGCGGTTTTTCTAGGTTCTTCTGTCCCTAGCAAAATAGAGCCACAGTCTCTTTGTTCTATGTGGAACCTCAAGAACCTCACTGATTCCGTGAACCGAAAACCAGGCATTGTGATACACTTCCGAAAAAATGACCGACACACCATTGAGCATCAACATGTCTTGGGATCGAGTGATATTGTTTGTAAACCCCATTAGATTAGTCCTTAACACCATCCTATCATTGAAACTCACCAAATCGCTCCACAAAAGCCCAAAGGGCACCACATGTCGATGAAAGATGGAGGATTGCTCACTCAAGTTCCCAACTCGGTTCATCAAGACTTGGTCAAATGGAGCAAACACAGTCATCATGGTCTGGCACTTGAAGAAAAATCCATGAAATTGCATTTCAAGAAGCGAAGTCATAACGGGGCACCCTTTCGAACTCAGCGCATTCCAAGAACCTGTCAATTCAGAAAATTATCAACAACCCATCATCGAAAATTAGGGAAACAGTGATAGGGACGTTGTTGAGTGAGACTTTGGGGTCGTCGGCCAAAGTGGTGACGGAGAGAGAGCGGTCAGAGAGTAAAGTTGAGATATTGGTGCTGAAAGGTAAGGACTTGAGGGATCGAAGAGAGAAATAAATGAGGATGATGTGGAATTGCATGAGGTTCAGCGATGGCTGACCGAAGTGAGAGAAGGCGGTGTCGGTGAGGGCGAAGATGGTGAGAGAAAAAGATTGGGAGAGGATGAGGTTTGAGATGCAAGGTCAAGGGTTAGAGCCATAGAGGTGTAGCCGAAATCTGAAAGGATTTCAGCGGCGTTGACGAGGGTTTGGGTGGGGAGGGCGGAGGAGAGAGAGAGAACTGAGAGGACGATGAGAGAGAGAAGGAGTTGGGTTGCCTCCATTGTCGGAGGTTGTTCTTCGTTTCTTGGAGTTTGGAGAGGGGTTTGGTTTTGCAAATGAGTCTGGGTGTAGTTGCAGATTCAGAGAGTATCTGAATTTGTAAGGGAAGGTTATTTTTGGCGGGTTAAGATTTGACGACTTCTGTTAGGGCTGGATGGAATATAGGCAAAGTGAGATAATATATGGAATTTCAGGAGGGAAAGTGAGACACTTAGAGTTTTAGGGAGGAAACTGAGACTAAAATTAAGTTACGGGGGGCATTTCAATAATTTAGCCTTTAATGAACGGGCTGTGGATAATGCATGTGACTTGTAAGAGTGAGACCCGCCAATCAGTCACTGAGCCTCTCCCTTTCATTCCACGTGCTAGTGATACCCAATAGCGACTCTACCCTACAACCCTCATACGGCTATTGCCTATTAGGCTAATTTTTCCAACCAAATTAATTCTAAAATATTTATTTGCCTGGACTAATTGAATTATAAAATATTTTTTGGGCTGAACCAATTGAAATGAATCTGAACCCCAGCAACACCACCAAACTTAAACCCCACATCACACTCACACTGCTCACTCTAACTAATATAATCCCCCCCTCCCACCCCAACCTTTTTCTAACTCCTTTACTCCTCTCTCTCTCTCTCTCTCTCTCTCTCTCTCTCTCTCCCCCCCATGCATACTTTTTCTACCCTCTTCACTGCCAAACTATTTATTGATTTGTGTCCACTAAATTAGACACTCATTTTCCCCACAAACTTTGGTTTCACTACAATCTCTCTCTCTCTCTCTCTCTCTCTCTCTGAGATATTCATACATATTCTATGGAAGAGCTAATAATCTCCCCCTCTTCATCCTCTTCTTTAGTATCTTTACCACAAGAAACCTCACCATCCCTACAACAAAGGCTTCAGTTTATTGTCCAGTCTCAGCCGGACTGGTGGTCGTACGCAATTTTTTGGCAACCCTCGAACGACCACCAGGACAATGGCCGTCTCTTTCTGACATGGGGAGACGGCCATTTCCAAGGCTCCAAAGACCCCTCCGCCAAACACCACAACAACCCCTATGGGATTCTTTCAGAAAGAAGGAAAATCCTCGAGGGCATTCAATCTCTCATCAACGACAACAACCCAGATCATCATCAAGACAGCATCATGGATCACATGGGCTTGGACGCCGACGTCTCCGACGGCGAGTGGTTCTACGTCATGTCGTTGGCTCGATCTTTCTCCATTGGCGAGAGCGCCACTAGCGCTAGTGTTCCCGGCAAGGCCTTCAGCTCCGGCTCTGTGGTGTGGCTCACTGGCGCCCATGAGCTCCAATTCTACAACTGCGACAGAGCCAAAGAGGCCCAAATGCATGGCTTTCAAACCCTGGTCTGCATCCCAACCCCCACCGGCGTTCTTGAAATGGGTTCTTCAGATTCGATCAGAGAAAACTGGAGCCTGGTTCAGCAGGCCAAGTCGTTATTCGGGTCGGACCTCATCTGCTCGGTAGCAGACCAACCCGACCCGGAAACCAGATCCCCCATCGACTTCATAAACCGAAACTTCTCTTTCGCCGATATCGGAATCATCGCCGGAGTAGAAGAAGAGGAAGACGACAAGAAGGAAGTGGCGCTGGACTTGACGATGATGAAGAGGAAGGGTGGAAACCCTGGAACGGGTCTGTACCCGGATTCAAACGCGAACCCGAAGCCAGACTACTCGGACTCCGACGGCCCGAAAAGGACACCTAAAAAGCGGGGCCGAAAACCTGGTCTGGGCCGTGACACGCCGTTGAACCACGTGGAGGCGGAGCGGCAGCGGCGGGAGAAACTGAACCACCGGTTCTACGCGCTGCGGGCGGTGGTCCCCAACGTGTCGAGAATGGACAAGGCGTCGCTGCTATCCGACGCCGTTTCTTATATCAACGAGCTGAAGACGAAGGTGGACGAATTGGAGTCGCAGGTACAGAGAGAGTCAAAGAAAGTCAAGGTCGAAACAGGAGATAATCTGGACATCCAGAGCACCACCACGTCCGTGGAGCAGATCGCGAAGCCCCCCAGTTCGTCTGCGAATGGGTCTGGGCTCGAAGTGGAGGTGAAGATTGTGGGCACGGACGCCATGATTAGGGTACAATCGGAGAATGTGAACTACCCATCCGCCAGATTAATGGCGGCGCTGCGGGACTTGGAGTTGCAGATCCACCATGCGAGCTTGTCTTGCATCAACGAGCTCATGCTTCAAGATATTGTGCTGAAGGTTCCAGAAAACATGAGAAGCGAAGACAGCCTCAAATCTGCCCTTCTTAGAATATTAGATCAGAACTAAAAAGCGGGACCGACGGATCGTTCAAGGCAATGTGTGTGTCCGCTTGCATCGAGTTCAATATCTCTTCCGGTACATTAGAGTAGTCTAAAAACATGTTCGATCGTTCAATTGGGTAAACCTGATTTTCAGTTCGCCAAGTTTGAATTTATTTATTTATCTCTGTATTAATAAATAATTGGTTTTTTTTATTTGTTGTGTTTTGTAAAATATGTAATTAATTATGGAGATAAATATTTTCGTACGAAACGTTGATATTTTTTCATTGTTGGAAGTGTCATTAATAGTAACGTGTTCCCCATGTTTATGGCACAGTGGGACTTTAGGAGCAAGATAGTCCAACCATAGTTGGGTGAATCAAATGAATCCAGGGATGACAGATAGTTTACGCACGTTCCTAAATGGACTCACAAGTGGGGGTGTCTAATAAACGAAGGTGAAGAAAAACTCGAAGGTACATCGTCGCTGTCGGAAAGAACAGTCGCTTACGCGCACAAAATTTCTCTTTTAACTGTTGTGCATCATAACATAAATCTCCTCGCATCGCATCAACAGTACCGCTAGTTATAAACGAGCGATCGGACGACTGTTGTTAGCAGCTCTCAGAATTGATAAAAGGACAAATTTTTTCTGGTTTTTACAGGGTGTGATTAATTTTGATTTGTTGGCCTGAAGTGTACCACTCGTGCTCTTTCTTTTGTGGACGAAATGAAATGGAATATCAACTGCGGATGTGTTTTTGGGGTCCTCGGACATGAGAATCTAGGACCCACCCACCACCACTAGAAAATACTATTAAACAAAGAAAACAAAACACACTGGGAAAATGTGCTTTTCATGCATCTATTATTATTATTATTTTTTAATGGATTTCTTTTTCGGTGGTAACGTGCGATGCAGGTTGAAACCTAAATAGATTAGAAAAAAAAGGAAGAAAAAAAGGGGGGTTGTGGATTGTTATTGGATAGTGTTTGCTTGATTCTTTGCGAATAATACAAAATGGCAAAGATTCAATCGATGAGACAACGAAGGAAAGCGAGAGCCACCACTATTGCTTTTGTATTTTTGTTGTTGTGTGCCTTCTTTATTGGGCTTCGGTTGGTCTTCTGACTTTTTGGTTTTAACCCTAAAGCGGTTTGCTGAAGAGAGTTCATTTCCTTCAAATATAGGAGGTTACTTGAGAAAGACTACCATCGTTGATTTTCTAGAAGAAGGGGATCCCAATGCGGTATTGCCTAAATGAACTCTAATGCTAACGTCATATAAATTTTTCAGCAGACTTTTCGCTGTTATAAGAAAATTGTGTTTCTCATTGACATGTCTTGATGGGCGGAAAAAACTTGTGTAAAATATGAATATCATTGTTTTGTTATTTCCGATCAATCATGTTATGCTAAATGGAAAGGTTATCATGCGTGACATAGTGTAATTGGCCGAGAATAACAAAACAATGCTATCTCCGTTTCACACGAGTGTTTCTTTTTTATAGGATGTTAAGTTTGATGAATTTGAGACACCAAAATATTATACCAATTTTTTTATATAAACACAAGTGATAGTCTAATCTACTCTACATTAATCAATCTACATAGAGAAATTCTAACTAGAATACAAAGAAGCGCGATTGACTACCATGATCAACTTTCATAACTCAAGTTTACATTATCCCAACTTTTTAGATTCCAAAATTTGTGGCAACTTATCATTTATTGCTATCTGGGCCTATGTAAACTTTAACCAAAAGGTGGAATAAATTGTTGGTTACTTTTGGCCTTTCTAATTCGTGTAACTTTCAAGTTGATTCCTCGATTGGGCTGAATTGGTGTTATAGATTCTAAATGAGTGATATTGGGCCCAGAGTGTTGGTATACCCTTACTTGTGGACTTGGAAAATGATCATTAACTCAAGAAGAAATATTAGGCCCATTTGGTAACATTTTTGAAGAAGGTTTTCGGAGAATATTTTATGAGAATGAAAATGAGAAAACAAATTTACATTTTCAGGATTCGAAAATACATCTAGTAGATTAATTGGAAAACATATTCAGAAAATAAAAAATAGTGAAAACGTGTATGGTAGGACAATTTGAGAATAATACTTTGTGAGTTATTTTTCGAGTATATTTAGTTTAACATAAACACAAAATTGAATAATTTATGATGGTTTTACATAAAATTAATATACACTGGTGTAGCAAAATAAAATAATGAAGTAGAACGAGAAAACTGAAAATTTAAAAAAATGACAAATTTAAAAAAAAAATGGAAAGAAGAAATAAAAATCAGACCAACAAAAAAGAAAAAAAAAGAAAAGAAAGTCATCAGACTAATACATTGAGTAGAAAATGAAAACAATAATTTGGTGTTTTCAGTTTTTGTACATGAGGTTGAATTTGTTTTCATAAAACAATTCTAGTGAAAATGAAAACGACATACCAAACGTGTTTTTGGTAGAAAATAAAAATGGGACCTTGAAAACGTTACCGAACAGCTCCTTATGTATCTCAATTTTTTATACAAAGAGTAGTCTAAGAGGGTGTATCCAATCGGATCCCAAGCCTCTGTATTTAGAGACTACACATTTACCTGTATTTCACTAAATCTAAACCATTATAATAATCTAGCCCCTTAGAATGTGACACAACATCAAGTTTTTTTTCTTTCACTAAACATACGTTAAGTTTTATTTGTGGTTAACTAAACTCTCGAGCTATGTTTTTTTTTTTTTTTTTTTTTTTTTTTTTTTTTTCTCTTTTTTTTGTTCTATTTATGTAATAATCTTCTTTCTCACTGATTTCTGCTCTCTCTTTTCTCTCCGATTCAATAAACAATTTCCCATGGAATTAGTATTCAAATCCAAATGAAATGGAAAAACCTAAAAAATTCTTATCACAATCCAGCCTCTTATGAACAGATAATTTCTTTGAAGACAAAATAAAGACAGATCCATTACAATCTGATTATGAGGGGAAGGGAGGAGATAACCGCATAAAAGAACAACTAAAAAACTATTTCTCCAGAAGATGCATGAAACAACACATGCGTGGTGGAAAAAAAAAACAAAAACTATTTTTAACTTGATTGGGTTTGAAGATTCATACAATCAGAAAAGCCTTGCACTCGGTAACTCACTTATCGATTTTGCTCACTAATGCGAAACTCTCAGTGGAAGAAATGTAAAGGGGTTTGAATGAAGAAGAGAGTGAGTGGTTCGCACTCTGTTGGGCATTCTGAAAACTAGGTAGTGAAAAAGACCGAGCCTTTATCGAACACCTCTGGTTCAAGAACTCTGAGGCAGATTGAAACTCGTCTAAACTATGAGGCAAATAAAAAAACTATGGTTCAAGAACTCTGAGGCAGATCAAAAAACTTGATGAGTTGTCGGCTAAGGCAGATCGAAACTCGTCTGCCTTAGCCAAGTAATCATAAAATTACTCGGTTGGGTTTTCCATTGAACCCAAAAAGGGAGGGGCATCAATTAAGCAGGGACAAAAGGAAGATGACCAAAACGTGAAAAAGAAAAAGCAACAAGAGGAGAGGGAAACACGAAAGGAGAAAAAAAAAAAACCACATAACTAACTGCAAAAGTTAACGTCTATTTAGAGAAAGAAAAAAAACTTGGTGATGTGTCATGTTCTAAAGGGTTAGATTATTATAATGGCCTAGATTTAGTGATTTTTTAAAAGTCACAATTGGATACCACCAAATTTTCACAAAAATAAAAATAAAAAAAATTTGCCAACAAAATTGAGTTTAAAAGTCATAATGAAATACCACTAGATTTTTATAAACGCGTTAAAATTTTAAATTGGATACCTCCAGACTTTTAAACTCTATAAAAGTCTTTAAAAGTTTAAATTGGTTGCACCCCCTAAACTTGAGTATAAGAAGACAGGCTCATTGCAAGCTAAATGGTCTAGCCCACATATGCTATTTATCTTATTTTTAGAAAGAATAAAGTTTACAATATCTTTAATTCAGTGAACAAAAGATATAAGAGAGTAAATGACAAGAGCATCTCCAACTGATATGTCAAATCCATGTAGGATTTTGATTGCTATGTTGGAACAACTTTACCCTTTAATTTTTGCCATTTCATGTCCATGTGATAATTTGACATATCGGTTTGAGAAGCTCTTATACAAATACCCATATAGAGCCTATTTGAAGAGAAAATTCCAAAACTGGCCACTTGTCATTTTCTAATTGGTTTTTTTAAAAATATTAACACACTAAAAAACAATTAAAAAACAACAAATGACTAGTTTTTAAATTTTCCATCAAAATAGACTTTATAAGGACTTTTGTATACTATGTCGATTTTAGCATATTCGATATGTCGATTATAATATGTCCATTTGATTGTATAATAGGGTTTAAATTCGGTACATACCCATTAGAAAAAATAAAAAATTATGCAGCAACAACCACACGAAATAAAACAAAAAATGTCACTCCTTGTTCTTTTCCAAGCAATTAGGTTCTAGTTTGTTTCAATCGCCACACCAATTAATCGAACACAAAAATGCTACTTTCATATTAGTTGTTACACAATCAAACATCAACCCATTAATAAAATATCAATCAAAGTGTTGTCTCCACATTAATTACATTATTAAACATCAAACAACGAGCAAGAAACAAAAATGTCACCTCAAATTTTATTACACTCTAAGATTTGATCATATTTATTTCCACATTGCAAGTAGTCAAACACCATAAGCCTCATCTATAAGATTCAGAATTTATACTAATTAAGTTTAATTAACTCGATTCAATCACCCAATGTTGCCCATCAAGCTTAATCTTGAGTCCGTAAACTCGGGCAAACAAAGTTACCGCCCTCCTCACCCCGTGGTCATCCGCTGCGGTAAAATAATCGTGCCCGAAAATAACCCCGCCGGGCCGCAAAATCCGGTAAGCCCGAATAATGTCGGACCAGGCTGAATTAAAATCATGACCCGCATCCACTTCGATCAAATCCCCGTACACGCCCATCTCACAGAGCCAGTCAAGACCCGACCCGGTAGAGAACGGAATGGGCAAGACCGTCTCGGTTGCGTTGACCGAGACGACGTTCTGCATGAACTGGTAGAGCAGCAAAACGTCGCCGTTCAGGAGGCCGATGCCGCGGAACCGGTCACGGAAGCCCGGCCAGCCGCGGAAGTCGTCGAGGCAGAGGATCTGGGTGTCCTTGAGGCCGAGCTGGCTGTTCAAGCCGGCCATGTGGATGGCGGAGGCGCCAAGGAAGGTGCCGATTTCGATGATGGTTTTGGGTTGGACTTTTTGGATGAGGTTTTGGAAAACGGGGCCGTTTGAGCCCCAGCCTTTGACGCGGCTGCGGCGGAGGAGGGGGGTGGCGTAGGGAGGGGGGAAGTTGACGAAGGGGGAGGTGGAGTTGAAGAGGCGGTCAAGGATGGTTTGGCGGATGAGGTGAGAAGGGAGTGGGGTGGCGCAGTGGGTGGTGAGTCGGAAGTGGTCGAGTTGAGTTGGGAGGTTGACGAGTTGGGGGAGTTGGGGGGTGGGAGGAGAAAAAGAGGGGGTTGTTGGAGAAGAAGGGGAAGAGAGGTATCCAAGGGTGAAGGAGAGGAGGAGGAGGAGGAGGTAGGTGATGGGTTTGAGTAGTTTGAAGGGGGTGAGTTTCTTTTGGTGGTGTTCTTTCATGGTGGGTGGTTTTGGGTTCATTGTGTTTGTAAGGCTAAAAGCTTAGGTTAGCTTGGCTTGGTTTTGAGAGAGAGAGAGAGAGAGACAGAAACAGAGACTGAGAAAAGAGAATGGAGAAGAGGAAGAGAGGAAGAGAATTAGAGACTGCGTTTCTGTTTGGTTGGGTCATATTTGCGAGCTTAGTATGAGGGTGGTGTAATGAAAACGACGGGAAAACGCCCCAAGGCCTGGTCTTCATCTATACGTACTTACTTTGAGAGGTTGAAATTACTCAAATCAGGATGCATGAAATCCTCTCTACACGTGTCATAATCGAAATTGTACATTTTTTGGGTGACCCATATGTATCGAATACATCAACGATTTTGATAACAATTAAAATCTTTATGATAATGTGGTCCTTTAGTTGATATATATGAATCACTAAAACAATTTTCAATTAATTTAATTTTTGGAAGAACGATTATAATTATTTTTATTTTTAAAAAAGTGCATATTTACATAATACTTTTACAACTGGCCAGTATATAACACAAATATATATTGACTTTATTATCCATATGATTCGAACTAGAGGTGTCAAACGGGAGGTGTTGGGCTAGCCAGACCTGTTTAGAGTCGGCCATTTTAATAAACGGGCCGTGCTGGACTTGCCTATTTAGGAAAATTATCAATCCTGGTCTGAGTCCATATGGACTCGAGCAGTGCTCATGTCGGGTCACTAAATGGCCCAAGATGGGCCCATGCCAAAATTTTAATTCGTCAATGATTGTTCTTTTCAAGATTAATTCAATATGTTAGAATTAGTTGACCGGAGAAAAATAAGAAAATTGAATGAAAGGTAGCACTTGGCTGAAACTTAAGGTTAATTGTGTTGTGAATACTTGGCGGAGAAAAATCAATAAGCTTACGTGGAATGTGGACTAGTCGGAGACGAATCGTGTTTTTGACAGGCGATGATCCGAAACTCGTTAATTTCTCCTAAGAATTAATTATGATATCCAACAAGAACAACTGGACCCTGATCAAGCCAGTCAACATAAGTAAGATTTGTGATATTGGGGGGATGAATGTCTTGGAAAATTGGAAATTTGCGAGGTAAGTTTCAAGTACATTTCGACAACGTATGACTAGTATTTCCCCGGAGAAACTTGTGAAGGTGACGGAGTAATTTCATTGCACGCTGCGGTCAAGTCAATTACAACCTCTTGGTCTTTGGTCTTGACTCAAGTCTACGGCTAGGATTTTTTTTATCCAAAACCCACTTCTCCTCATGCGCGCATCAGGCCTATCAAATATGCATTTATCAAACACAAGCGGAGCAAGTCTCACCAAAAAATTAAAAAGAGAGTACGAGAGCTATGATTTAAATGCAAAAACTATAGCCAAAGCTACCCTTTTACTATTATTACCATGTAAGCTTGCCAAGGCAAAATAAATGAGTTCCAATATTTATACTCCAACCTCGGCGGCAGCATTTAACAAGTTCCAAGTATTTGTCCCTTCTTTGGGACTGAAAGTTCAAACATTTGTCACATGCAGTTTTTTTTTTCTCTATTCTTTAAAAATAAAAATAAAAAACCAAAAACGAAGAAAATAAATGCCCACATACAGTACAGGGGGATGCGAGGGCGCTATTTAGCGGTAGGAGTATGACGGACAAGCAAAAGCATAAGGAGATGAAACTGGCGCAGGCAATGCATCAGCCTTGGTTGCCTGGTAGTTTTCTGTCCGGTTATAACTGGATGCAGCATCAGCAGGAGCAGCATCAATTGAGTATAGTCTCTCTCCACAATCAGTTTCTCTCCTTAGCACAGGATCAGTCTCAATCAGGTGGTTCTCTCTCCTACCACCAACAACATGTGTTGAGTATAATCTCTCCACATGATCAGTTTCTCTCCTCACAGGATCAGTTTCAATTAGATGATTCTCTCTCTGGGGTGCCAGATATGGGTCCAATGATGAAGAACCATAATAGGAGTAGCCGTAATATGGATCCCTTGCATACGCATCTACAGCAGTAGCAGAAGTTGCAGGTGGCAACTCATGTCTAGCACCGCGAGTATAAGCAGGTAATCTCTATCATTCAAGTAGAGAGGATCGGAATGAACATTTTCTCGATGTGCAGGAACAGCCTCCCCGTAAATGAGGTTTGGCTGTCTTGCAAGATGCTCCCTTTCATACTCTCTATGAAGAGCTTCCAGAGCTGGAGGAACGATACGAGGAGACACGTTTCTTCTCTCTCCCCGAAGACCATAAGCTCGAAATTCCTTTTCAGTAAGGTATAAATCATGAGAAGTTTCCTCTCTCCTTAATAAAGCCATATCTCAGTATGCAACACGCTGGTCCCTTTCATGAGCTAACACTGGATAACTCCTAGCATCACCATTGGCAGAAGGATATCTAGCGTGTGCATTCCTGTGGGCATGTGGCAGCTATTCCCTAGCTCCTTCATGAACTCCCCGATCCTGAACTTTAGCCTGGACTGGAGAATGAGTGGCTAGAGCAGTTGAATGGACTTGAGCTGGTCGGAAAAGTGATGTGAGCTTCCTGACCTGAAAGGAAAATATTGGATATTATTACTTCAGCATATGCAAAGAAACAACGATCGCTTACTCCAAGAAAACTTAATAGAAGGAAGGGGGTGCATTATCTCACTTGTCGAATTGTAAGTTCTGTTTTGAACTTCTTTTTCTCATTATAGTTTTCTTGTATTGCCTTCTTGAAAACACTCTCAGGTAGAGGAAGACAATCTTTCTCCGCATTGAACCGCACCTAAAGTTTTCAAGTCATCAGCATACATGTCTGGTTAACTAAACAAAGCAAACAAGGAGAGATAGATCTAAGAAAATGTGACCTGAGCAGGGAAGGCCCCGCCAAATGCTTTTGGCCACCTGAAGAGGATGCTTTGTAAACCACATACAAAAGCTTACGATCAAAATCAAAGAGAAAAAGCTTCAACCCAGTTTTGATACCCAACACAAGGTCTGTTTTACCCATTGAAACACCCTTGATATGCCTTTATAATCACAAATAAGAGTTCCATAAAAAACCTCCCACAGCGTCCAAAGAAAAGTAAATTCAAAGGAGAAAGAAAAACCAATTCAGTCAAGATAAACTTTAACATCAATCCCACTATCAATGAGGGATTGAACAACTGCCCTAATCTTCCCTTCAAACTTGTCCCTGTCCCTGGGAGTATAAGAAGCAGTGTAGACATCAGCTTCTCTTGCCCTATCAGCCAAGATTTGGCCTACGGCCAAACAGGCTGGTATATCGCACCGAGACTTGAGGACAGCCTTAATGTCTTTGGAGTTGGTACCAGCAACTGCAACCTGCTTGCATGTCACTCGGTGGGTGATTGAGGCCGAAACAAACCGCTTTGAGATGAACACATCAAGTGTAAATGGTTCAATGTAGGCTATGGTGCGCTGTTTGAATGATACATGTTTTTGTGGATTTTTGGATATCTTCTCTTTCTGGTAAGTGTATGGCCGGCTATTGTTATCATCAAGGAAATCCTCTACCCCGAAAAAACTTCTCTGTGCACAATGAACCTATAAATTGCATAATTAGATGGCAGTTGGCTTCATCAAAAAGTTTCTAAAGGAAAAACTAGCAAATCTTCATGGCATCATGCAAGCATAAAAAGATGTTCAAACGTGCTTCTTCAACCCAAATACAATCCAAAGACTTTATGATGTCAAAATTCCAGAACATAAGAAATATGGAAACTGGGAAATTGGGATTTGAAGTGTACCTGTCCACTGTGGAAACCACTGGTGGGCACATACAGGCAAGGCAGAACTCTGTTTCCTCCATACACATGAACCCCTTTGTTCCACACCTTCCCAAAGACATGCTTCAACATTTTTATTTTCCTTTTTACTTGCACACAAGACACCTTGATGTAGAATGATCCTACTTCTGTTTAATAAGCTGAAAAAAAAAAAATTACACAACCACCAAAGAAAGAAACTTAGAACAACAGGTTACAGTCACTTTGTTGATGCATTACGTCCAAAAGGTGTTAGGCAATGGAAGATATACAAAAACGTCAAAAAGGAAGAAGCTTTGTTTCCAATTTTATTCCCATTTATGTGAAGCACGCAAGAACCACTGTTATTACTTATGAGTATCGAGCAGGAGCAGCATGCATTGAGTATAGTCTCTCTCCACGATCAGTTTCTCTCCTTAGCACAGGATCAGTTTCTCTCCACGCGATTAAAATAATATAAATAGAAAAATTGATATTTCATCCATAATAAGTTCATAAAGGAGCATTATCATTCTCCTCATTCTCTCCATCATTATTATTACTAGTATTCCCATCACTAGAACTATAACCCACACTATTCATTTCCTGTGAATCAAATGAAGTTTGATAATAAAAAAAAAACAATTAATAGATATAGAAAACAATTATACAGCCACCCCCACCCCAATTATATATACAGACAGCCATCCCCACCCCAATATTACCGAATACCCATATACCCATTATCTAATTAAAAACACAGCAAGAATAAGAAGAAAACCTTGAGGAGCGACGGCAGAGGTGGTGACGGCGACGGCGATTGAATCTGAGGTGGCCACGGGGCGACAGCGATTGGTGGTGGTGGGTTCTTCTCTTCCTTCTTCTTCTTCTTTTTCGGTTGCCGTTGAATCCCAAATGACATAGCCAGGCAGGGTCTTTAAATTCTAGGTTTTAAGTTTGCATTTTAACCCCAAATATTCAAGATATCTTCGTTTTTCACCCCTTGACTTATCGCGAGTGTATGGTGCAGTAGCATCGGCTATACTTTTTTTTTTTTTAAGACCCCAGCACAGCCGTGCGGCTATACTAATTTTTTATAAAAAAAATCCCGAGTATAGCCGTGCCGCTATACTAGTTATGAAAAAAAAAGGGCCTAGCGCTTAGCGATTCGGAGCCACGTATAAAAAACGTATCGCCGCGTGGCTATATTATTTATAAAAAACTAAAAACAACCCCAGTAAAGCCGGGGGCTATGCGAGTCGGTGGCACGTAAGTATTCTCGTTCGGCTATACTATCTATCAACAAAACTAAAAAGGAGAACCCGATAAAGCCGGCCGGCTATACGCATTTTTTTATAAAAAAACGCGCGGCTATACGGTTTATGAAAAAAAGCAAAAATGACCCTCCTAGCGCCTAGCGATTCCGCGCCACGGGGCGTATAGGATACGTATTGGTGTCGTATTGTATTGGCGCCGTATTCGATGATACTCGCATACCCCAGAAATCTGGTATATCGGTGCAACAGAGCTCCTTACTGATGCCACATCTCGGTATGCAACACGCTGGTCCCTTTCATGTGCTAAGACTGGATAACTCCTAGCATCACCGTTGGCATAAGGATCTCTAGCATGTGAATCCCTGTGGACATGTGGCAGCGATTCCCTAGCTCTTTCATGAACTCCCCGATCCCGAACTTTAGCTTGGGCTGGAGAGCGAGTGGCTAGAGCAGTTGAATGGAGTTGAGCTGGTCGGAAAAGTGCCGTGAACTTCCTGACCTGAAATGGAAAATATTGGATATTATTGCTTCAGCATATGCAAAGAAACAATGATCGCTTACTCCAGGAAAACTTAATAAAAGGAAGGGGCCACATAGCATTATCTCACTTGTCGAACTGTAAGTTCTGTTTTGAACTTCTTTTTCCCATTATAGTTTTCTTGTATTGCCTTCTTGAAAACACTCTCATCTCAGGTAGAGGAAGACAATCTTTCTCCACGTTGAACCGCACCTAAAGTTTTCAAGTCATCAGCATACATGTCTGGTTAACTAAACAAAGCAAACAAGGAGAGATAGATCTAAGAAAATGTGACCTGAGCAGGAAGGCCCCGCCAAATGCTTTTGGCTCGAGTTTTAGTCCACCTGAAGAGGATGCTTTGTAAACCCCATACAAAAGCTTAAGATCAAAATCAAAGAGAAAAAGCTTCAACCCAGGTTTGATACCCAACACAAGGTCTTTTTTACCCATTGAAACACCCATGATACTGCAATGGAAGCAGTCTGGCTTTGTCTTTCCACTGCACATGAAGATCAAACCACCAAGCTTTTCCCTCTTTTCATCATGTTTTTCGCTGTTCCTTTGACTCTTCACACTCTTGTCTGACCCAAGTCGTTTTTCTGTACCCTTCTGTTTTTGTCGGCTCTTTTCGGATTTGTCAATCTTTCCTGGATTCTTTTGAGCCTGATGGCTCTTCTCGGCATGCTCTCCATTCGTGATATTCTCTTGTTTCTTTCTTTTTGAATTCATCTTCTTGGCATCTTCTTCTCTTTTGTTGCTACTCTCGTTGTTACCCCTATTCCGCCTCCGTTTCCTCCCATTAACCTGTGAGCTAGTTGTACCTTTGCTCGTTTTCAAGCTGTTATGAATGGAGTTTTCTTCACTATTTTAGCTTTGCCCTTTAATGATCTTGGGGTTTTCTTTCCAGAGTTGGATGCTTCTGCAGGAGAGGCAATTTTCTTTTCAGTTACATCAGGTTTATTAGACACTTCTGCAGGAGAAGACATTTTCATTTCAGCTGACTCAGGTCCACTGAACGCTTCAGCAGAAGAGGTCTTCAGTTCAGATGAGTCATGGTTTTTTGGATTCTTCCGCTGGAGAGGGGATTTGTTCAGATGACTCTGTTTGTTGGATGCTTCTGCAGGGGAAGGGATTTACTCAGATGACTCTGAATTATTCAACACTACTGCAAGACTATTTATCTCCTTCCTGTTATCTGTTTCCATATAGTTATCATCTAGTTCCATAGTCTATGCTATACAATCAGGATCACAAAGCCAAATGTATCCTGAAAACATTACTTTAAAAATATAAAAAAAATCACTAGCTGTTAGCGATTCGGGCGACGTGTCAAAAAAATGTAAAGCCGCACGGCTATACTATTTATACAAAAAATGTAGTGATTTATTTTGTTTTCTATTAAAAAGAGTAGGATGCAGGAACAACATAACCAGAAAGGAATCAATCAACATGAGAAAGAAAAGGAAAGGAAATGAATGTAAAAGCAGCTTCCATACTTCACTCTGTTCTGGCAATACATAAAAACTTAAAACGGCATTGAAATTATTTCTTTCAAAGGCAATACAATAAATCCATGGAGGCACTTTAGCTAAGTGGGAAGGTATCAGTTTCAATCCAAGAATCACTGAAATTTAAATCCCCTTTTTAATATTTCGGTGCACAATACAGAAGAGGTTTCTACCTTCATGCCCTTGTCTTTTGTTTTTCAATTAGTTTCAATACTGGAAAAACTCTAACCGTAGAAGTACAAATCCTAGAAGGAAAAATGATGGATGGTCCTTTATGTTCCAACCAACTGGAAACAAATACAAGTAGACCAAATGCTAATTGGTTTGCAGGGATGATCTTTAAATTGTGATTTAGACAATGAACGGTTCCAATTATGACACGTGCATGGTGAAGATTCGTTAATCGTAATGAGAGGGAAAAGAAATGTGCACTTGTTTGTATATAATAAGGGTTTCTTTTGTTATTCTTCGGCTTCGAAAATAAACAGAATTTGGGTCTAATGGATAGTTTAGGTCACATTCATTCCTTGTCTTCGTTTCCTTTTCTGTTCTTAACTATCTATCCATGTCAATGTCAACTCCACAAAATGTGCTTAAGCCCCATTGTTATTCTATTTATTTTGGGGTTGAAGTTAGTAATTATAATATAAGCATCATGCCTAAGATAAATATGTTGTGTACAGATACATTTCTATTTTCCCAAATTAAAAAGGGCTTAAGTTCTAAATATATAAAAGGGCTTAAGTTCTAAATATATAAGCTCAACATTATTCTCTAAGTATATAAATTTTTGAGTTCAACATCTCAATTATATAAAAAAAGGGAAAGGAAAAGGAAAATCATGATTTCAATGTCCATTAACTTTATTGTTATTTATCTTTAGTATTCAGACGTGACCACCACCTATATTCACCACCCGAGGGCTTTCTCTGTTTTTGCGAAGGGAAAGGATAAGTATAGAGGAAGAAAAAGAAACCAACGGTCGTAACTCCTCTTCAAAATTCAATATTGTGATCCTCTCTTATATCACAAGACGGCAGAAAACCAGAAAGATGTTGCTAGTGGACTGCCTCTACAATCCTGCATGGGAACAATGCTAAAAATTGTAGGCAATGAGGACAGAGAGTAAAACTTGAAAATTGAATTCTAATCGATCCTTTTGGACATTGCAAATGAGAACGCCCAGTTGACAAACCGGCGAGGCAATACAAAACCTTCAACGGCCATCTATGAGTTACAAATTGCTAAGAAGAGTTCATACACATACCAACAGGAAAACAAACTACCAGCAAAACTTGTAATAGGATCAGAATTTGTGGCGCATGCTGCACGCATTTATGAGTTACAAATTGACAGACATCCAAGTACACATGTTTCCATCTCTAAGAGCCCTTAGAACCAAGTCTGTCTTTTCTTTCACCACTTGTTTCATCTGATGCCAGGATCCATTCCATGCAAAGGAACTTACAACACGACTCACCTACCTAATCATTTTAAAGACTAAGGAGAACTTTCGCTGCTGTTTGCAATCTGTCAAAGATCACTGAGCAAAGCAGCTACTTTAGGAAAACACCTACTATCAACAGGCACATGTTTCCATGTGGAATCATCCATAAGACCATGTCACTTTCCATCTTCTCCATCACCATTGCCGTGCCCGCCGGCTGAGCTCCCCTGGCCATCACCACCTGTCCCAGCCTCCGAGTTGTCTTGCTTGCTTCCTCCACGCCCATCGTTTGGACCCCCTCCAGCTGAAGTTGGGCCACCACTACCACCACCAAGTGTGGCTTCAGTATGATGCATGGAAGGCATGCCATTGGCCCCTCCAGCTCTCATTCCCATTTGCCCTTGCATGGCTTGTTGGTGCTGCTGGTGTAGCTGCTGTGCTGCATCATGCATTTGGTGCGGGTTATTGAACTGCAATGGCATCTTTGGGGGGAAAATACCCTGTTGCTGAGCCATTGCTGCTGCCTGAGGATGTTGCATGTAATATCCTGCTTGTTGCATAGCAGGATGTGGGGCCATCTGCCAAGTGTTGAAACAAAGATGATAAACATGGATAAAAAGGTGAATCGGCAAACCATCAAGGCATGCTTACTACCCACCTGAGCAGGCACCGTTGGTGCCTGTGGTTGTGCATCAGCAATAGCTGCTAAATACATCAGATTCTTTTGAAGCTGAGCTTGGTACCTAAATCATCAAAAGCGAAAAGTATACATCATACAAATATTGTGATCTTGCATTAAGGAATAAAAATTTATATCCCGAAGTCATAACATGGAGACCAGCATTTGATATTTATAATTGTCCATTAAAAACAAAAACAACAAGGAGTCAAAACTCAATTAGTTTCTCCACTCAGAGCTGCTGATTGCATGAAATGCCTACCGAGTATCCCCAACTATATCAATAAATATGTAAGACAATCCACTGCCATACCTAATTTAACCATGAATTATTATAATTAATCCAGTAATTACGAGACATCAAACACCTTACAAGTTTTTAAATGGGGAAATATCAAAATAAGTCTGAAAACATTGCATAATAACAGATACCAATACAAACATGAGGCTAGGTCAACATTCTACCATCTCTAAAAGACCAGACGTAGCATTCTAACCTAAATCAGACAAGTACAATCAATGTGATACAGGCCCAGCAATATAACTCAAGACAAAATACAGACATAAAGCATGTGAGAGAGAGAGAGAGAGAGAGAGAGAGAGAGAGAGGACTTACTGGGCACACTCAGCAAGTTTTCCAAGGTTTTGATTATCCAATATTGCCAGAATCAATTTTTTGTTCTCGTCAAGGTACTACATCATAAATTAAGAAAAAAAGACATTAACATTAGATTTACTTTAATTCCCACATATCACATATCAAGTGAGATGTATATTAGACTATCTAGGTGGATATACAAAAATAACACTAGTAAAATAATTGAACAATACAAAATCTATATCCAAGTTATATCAACTGTGCCAGTAGCCATCCGCCTAATTCACAGGACAAAAGAAATAAAGTAAAACCATACATGCATAGACCAACATTGACAATATAAGATACTAACACTTAATACTGGTAAGGATCATCTCATGTATCCTTAATTCTTATCAATTTTAGGTCGACAAAGTATAATTCAACATTTCATAATAGATATCCATTCCTTCAAAAGAGTCTCTGGCTTAGATGGGAATTTCTGCAATGGTGATTGAAAATGCAACCACCTACTCACTAATTTAGTTCAAGACTGATGAGTGTGCCCAAAATTTTGTTTTAATAAATGATTTGCCATACATATCACCCATAAGCCATCCCACGTAAGACTTTGGCATATTTACCAACATTTAATTGCATTAGTTTGATCAATTTTGACTATACTCTTACTTGTGGCACTACCTTGGCAAGTGGAATTATTGAAATCCTATCCAGTAAATCTTTCTGTCCGTACCATAAAAAATCCACTTCCATGAAAATGGACAGATGTCGTACGTGACAAAGGGAAAATATCATGTGTGCCTTTATCTCCAATTCTTAGAGGAGACTGGGAACTGTGGTGGACCAATGGAGTAAAATCTGCACAGCAGTAGAGTAACTAGATGGTTCCCAACATGTAAACCTAGTGGCCTGAATCACCATTAGAAATAGGCTGACACAGGGAAAAATCTTAACAGATTAAGAAAGTACGTCGCGCAGATCAGGAGAATAAACTGCTAGAAAGGAAGAGCATCTCGTATGGTCATGAATTCTACATACAAATTAGATCCCATATTTCGAGTTAACATTTAATTTCCATGTTCTTTACATTATGAACATGTAGACAAACTCCATGGTCTTATTTGTTTCATTGTTCTCTTCCCGGTCTTACCCAACACATCCATAGACTACAAGTGGACGACATAGTCTTCCAAAATTCTATAAATGATCACCAATTATCATACATCATTCGACCATAAAAGTATAGAACAATGGATTCCCAGCTTTATTGAATTTCTCCCTTAAAAATTTCAGCTAAAGGGTGTTCTTTTCTATGTGAGGAAGTAAAATCTTACAAATTATAATCAAGTAATCACATATTCCTTAATCACCTCAGTTTAATATAGCCTTGTTTGCATCAAAACTTGTTTGGCTTGCAAAGGTTGTTTCTTTCCCCCACAAAAAAATGGCAAAAACCTCACTTTACACAAAAATAAAAACCCAACAAAGCCAGAGGACCAATTAGTTCTACAATCCATTAAGAGCTCCAAATAACCATAATACCAAAAACAGAGCAAAAAATCCACAAAAAGTAAAACAGAGAGAGAAAGATTGAGCAAAATGGAAAAAAAAAAGGTACCTTCTGAATTTGCTCGGTGGTGATGTTAGTGGGTGGAAATGAAGTAGGCATCACAGGGATCATTTGCTGTGGCTGCTGCATCTTTTTCCCCCTTTCTTTGTACTTTCGGGGCACAAACCCTAACCCTAATTAACCCCAAAAGCGAAACAAAATAGAGCAAAATCAATTAGTAGCACACAGATTAAAAAGACAAGGAAATAAATTTAGGAGCTTGAGACAGAGAGAGACAAGGCGGTCGTGTACCTTTTTGAGTAGGTGGTGAGTGTAGGAGGTGGGAACAGAGATTTTTGAAAGCGGATTTAGGGGAACTACGGATCTTTTTGGATGACGACGAGGTTTCTGGACTTTTAAAGACAAAAGCCACCAACAAAAACAAAAAAACAAAAACAAAAAAGGAAAAAAGAGAAATTGTAAATTATTTATGTTTTCATTAAAAAGAATTTGTATATATGTGTTCAAATTGTTACTTATCTTGTGTTATTTTCTGCTGTATTTGAAAATGAGGATTCGATTATAGAATCTAAATTTGGAAACCATCATTGTAGTTCAATAAGACTAATAAAAAATTATGTCTTAACCTAAATCAATTATCTTCAATCTATTATTTGGGTTAAGATTTCCTATATATACGGGAAAGATTTGAAATTTTGAATCATCAATTTCCTAATGAGTCGTTTCATTAAAAGCCTCAACTAAAACAAACAGTGAAATTATTAAATTTCCGTATAACAAAGAGCTTCTCTTGCGTTTATGAACACGTAAAAAACAAAAATTATGTGAATTTCTCTTTGTACTTGTAATTTTCACATTCATAATTCACAATTCGTGACTTCTCCCATTCTAATTGAGTAAACGTAATTCAACATAATAGAACCTCTAACAATCCATTTTCTTTGAACAAGAAATAATGAATAATAAATAAAAACAAAAGAATGATAAATAAAAACTGAAACGGTGCGCTGAGTTGATAATTGTGGCGCGCCCAAAGTACCAAACTGAGTTGATAACAAGTCCACTTCTCACTTTGCACAGTCTCGAATTTATTTGACCCAAAAAAAAAAAGAAAAAAAAAAAGGAGAAAGTCTCAAACTTCAAACGCCAATGAACAAAAACACATGGATCTCCAAATCCAGCAAGACTTCAAATACTTGAATCAATCCCACTCAACAAGAAGAAGAAAAGCTTAAACCTGGCTCCTGATATCTGGAAACGCCTCTTCCCTCCACGAAGAACCAGAAGGCCAATCTTCCCTCTCAAATTTCCAACCGGGATAGTTCGGCCATTGCCAATCAATCCCAGAATGGAGATAAACCTGTTCAAGTTATGCTCCGGCCTCAAAGTCATTGGCTACTTCATGATCCTCTTGGTTGCCGCCATAATTTCCCTCTCCTACTACGCCATCGTTGTGGTGACTTGGGGCCCGGAGCTGCTCAGCGGCGGGCTCCACTCTTTTCTAGCCTTCTTCATCATCATTATGTTCCACTTTCTGGTAATTCTCAACTATTCCAGCCATTGATGCTTCAAGTTTTGTTCTTTAATATATGGGTATTTGGGAAATTGGAAAATATAATCAACCCACTTTTTTTTTTCCTTGCAAAAAGTTTGCTTTTCCTTCTTATTTGGGTTTTGTTTTTTCTTTGGTGGGTTTGTGTTAATTTTACTATATCATTGGGGTCTAAAAAGTTAAGTTAAACTTGAAGTGGTTAGCTTGCATTTAGTTCAATTAAGTAGATTAATACTGATAGCTGCTGCAATGAGCACAATTTAGAATAATTTGCAGAGGAATGAATAACATCATAACTATGGGGCAAATAGAGTAGTGAACTAAGTCTCATGCTATACACGTGAGTCCAAAGTTAATGGATGAACAAGAATGAAGTTGCCCTCAAATGCTTGACAAGCTAATAGAAGTTGAATTTGAGATGAGAGCTGAGATGTAGGGACACAAATTAAAATTTAGGTTCAGATCTGTTGGCTGGTTTAGCAGTGTTCTCAAAAACTTCAGTATTTAGGTAGAGAGGTACATTTGATACTTATATTGTACACCCTTGGGATAATTGCCTTTAACAAAGATTAAAACGGTGCATGTTGATTTGTGGGTTTGATGACTATTCTTATTGGGTTTCTTTCTGTAACTGATTCAAGATTTTTATAAGAAAATTTATACAGAAAATAGTTATAGTTTATCTGTGTAACGACATTGAGTAATAAGATTCATTTAGAAGAAAACTAACTCTTGAGTTTTCCCATTGGTTTCAATTTGCATTTGTCTTGCAGCTTATAATGTTATTGTGGAGCTACTTTATGGTTGTCTTTAAAGACCCGGGTTCTGTTCCCGACAATTGGAAACCCCTAACAGAGGAAGAAGTTTTGGAGGCTGGTAGTTCTCTGCCTTTGTCAGAAAGTATAGAACCCGAGGCTTTCACTTCCACACACTCTGCAGATGGACGAGAAAGAAGACCACAAGTAGGATATTGTAGTCGATGCCAAAACGGCAAGCCACCACGATGCCATCATTGCTCTGTTTGTAAGCAAGTTGCTTTCTATTGTTGCTTGCGATGTATATTATGCTTGTATCTTGACATGCGTTTCTGTATTATTTCATATTCCCTCGGTGTGTTTCATCATCTTCTTCTTCTTTACTTCCACTTTGTATGTAAGAATTTTTTTCCCTTACTTTTTATATATCTTGGAGATGACATCGATTTGAGTGTAGTTGTGATAGAACGTATCTCCCTAGAAAAATCTTTCAAGGATGGTACCATATATATGAATTTTCTTTCCATTTCTGTGTTGTTAACCCTAGATTAGAATTTTTATCAGTAGAGCCATCATGTGTCATTTGTAGGATGTTTCCAAGTTTAAATTGTTATGGCATGTATTCTTTTTGTGTTTTTGTTTTGTATATAACTCTATATATTGTCTGAAAGTGACAGAGTCATAATATTTTCAGATGCACTTCACAACTTTAGAACATTGGTGGCAGCCTTATTTAACATTCGGTGAAATTGTCAGTTAAGTTAAAGAAAGTAATTTTGTTTTCTGCTATTTTCTGTAGGTCAAAGATGTGTACTTAAGATGGATCACCATTGTGTTTGGGTGGTGAATTGTGTTGGTGCACGCAACTACAAGTTTTTTCTTCTTTTCTTGGTAATCCTATATTTCTTTTTTCTTATTATTATAGTTGCAGTTTGTGTAGCTTTCCTTACCCCCACTGAATTTTTGGTTCAAAGGCTGGGAAAGCCCATAGAAACTAAGGGATGGGAACTGGAGATGTTTGAGTAATTTTTTTATGTGTGTTTGTGTTGGGAGAAAGTCATAGGGTAGAGAGAGATGAGTAATAATAATTTATTATAAAATTAATACCTTCTGGTGTGCAAAGGAACTTTAAATTTGGACTAATTGGCTAGTTTATTTTATCTGTTGTTTTCTGCTGACTCTTTCCATTTTCTGTTATTGGCATAAAAGCTGTATACATTTCTGGAGACGACAATGGATACCTTCATTTTGCTACCAAATTTTATCGATTTTTTCTCTGAAGCCAAGAATCATTCAACATCCCCTGGCAATCTTGCAGTTATTTTTTTGACTTTTGGTAATGTTCCACCTGTACGATCATTTGCACGTCCACATATTGGTTCTGCTTCTGCTTTCATTATTTACTTGTTTCTTACATATTGTGTACTTTGTCGCAGTGCTTAATTTAGCCTTTGCATTGAGTCTTCTTTGTTTCGTGGTTATGCATGTGTCCCTTCTGTCAAGCAACACCACTACCATAGAGGTAATAAAATCAACTCCTACTTTCTGTCTACCAGTTTTGAGATAATATGAATATTTGCATTGCACTAACCATTTGAGACCTGAATTACCTGATATAATTCATTTTTTCAGTTGGCTACCTGCTGCTCGAGCTGTTATTCCAATTTATGAATTGATTTTTACATGAATTGCAAAATGAGATTTGGCTAAAGTTACCTGAAGTGATCCGGAAATTAGAATAACCTGAGTCTACTAAGAAGTTTATTATGTAGCACGTTTATCTTATATCTTATTAGAGTACAGATACAACCTCTGCATGGTATTGGTAGCCAAGCTCAGGGCATTAATTCATTACTGCAGATTTTTTATTGTATAGTTTTATATAGGTAATTGAAAAATGTTTCAGGTTCATGAGAAGAGAAGAGGAATCAGATGGAAGTATGACTTGGGCAGGAAGAAGAATTTTGAACAGGTGGTACTCTCTCTCTCTCTCTCTCTCTCTCTCTCTATAAAATTGTCTCGTGAAGTTCATTTAAACTGACTCTTTATGCAAGCCCTTCTTCTGTCACACCGTTGAGGGGTCTCACTTTTTGCTCTTTTCCCCCCTCCTGAAGGTTTTCGGCATGAAGAAGGCACTATGGTTCTTCCCACTGGTCTCAAAGGAGGATTTAAACAACATACCTGCTCTTCGGGGCCTGGAATTTCCAACACTTTCCGATAGTGAGGGTTGATGCTTGGTGAGGCCATTAATTCTTACCTCCTTCCAGCCATTCAAATACTTCACGACTCATGTATATTGGAAATATTAGGTCTGAAAAGGTGCAGTACTGTGTTTAGTTTAATCCGTGTTTGCAATCTTTAGTTTAAGAGGATCTGTATTAGGCTCGAGTTTTTTCTTTTTTACACACTGGAAATTGGCTTCAGAAGGATCAACCCAACAGGAAACAGATTGCTTGGGTAAAAAAACTCAGCTAGCCACACATCAATTTATATAGAGACTGTTTTTTCTAGTCCATTTCTTTTCCTTCATCCAAACTTAGAAGTGTACCGCAATTGCTTTGGTATCCAGAAGAAGCTGTTTTTGCAGTAGCTAAGTTAGCTTTACTCCCTCAACATATTCGTTCCCGGATATCTTGACTGCCATTGACTCATTCACATTGTATGGGATGCTAAATGCAGCAAACATGGTTTACTGCTTGTTGCCGTAGGCAACTCCATTTTAAGGAGCCTGTGCCCGCCATGTAGACTTGGTGTGATAATTTTGGTTGGCCAGTTGGCCAAGACTTGGGTTTGAGCTTGTAAATCATCAAATACTGCCTAATCATAAATGAAGGCATGGGTGTCCTACAAATAAAGCTAGTTCTAAAATATTTTTTCACAATTTGTTATGTACTTTTCTTACTCTCTTTTTTATTTTCTTTTGTACTTTTCTTACTTTGTTTCAGTATTTGAATCTTGCCACTTGAATGCCCTAGGTTCCAACTCTTACAGGCATAAAACATCGAAGTTTACATCATACGTGTGGTTTGTGGATGATTGCAGATGATTGTGTGTAATTGAAGTTATATTTTAGGGTTTTTCGCAGCAATGGTCCCTCAACTATACCCGTAGTTGCATTTGGGTCACTGAACTCAGTTATTAGTTACAGAGGTCACTCAATTGGATGTTATGTTACACCATTAGTCCTTCTGTCAAACTCTGTTAAATTTTCTGTCAAAAATGAGGGTAAATTCGGAAATTCATCAATAACCCTCCCCTTCATCCACAACTCTCCATTGTCGCAACCTAATCGTTGCTTCTCCTCTCTTGTACCAAAATCTAGGCAGAAAAAGGAAAAGAGAAAGACAACTCGATTGGGTATCACATATATAAGAGGAAAGGGGTTGAGAGAGAAAGAGAGAGAGAGAGAGAGAGAGAGAGAGAGAGAGCGCAAGGGTTCTCCCTGGGTTTCTTTTGTTTTTTCCATTACAATTCTAAAATAGGTTGGGATTTTTATTTTACGATTTAAGATTGAAAAATCTAAGCTCTAAAGCTCAAATTTGGGGTAATTTTTTTCACTAGGAAACTCAAGAACAATCTTTAGCCTGGTGGAAATGGAGAAAATACTGGTTTTTGAAGATCGGAAATTCTGAGAGAGAGACATTTTTTTCTTTCTGTGAATTTGATCGCATCGATCATGCCTTTCCCAATGAAAATCCAACCAATCGATTTTTGCATGAGTCGTGAAGACGCAACCAGGTTCGAGGCGGTCAAGCCGATGGCTAAGTCTCGGGTCAAGTGTCCATTCACAAACGTATTGAGCAGCTCCGCCGCGACAGAATCGGCATCGAGGAGCAGCATTTCAACAAGGACGGCTTCGGCGGTGGGTCAGGTGAGTTCGAGCCGAGCTTGCTGTGCTTGGCGAAGATGGTCTAGAGTTTCATGGAGGAGAGCAACGAGAAGCAATTGGCTATGGCGCCAGAACTGCTGCAACTATTTTAACGGAAACTGCAATGACAGCTCCGAAGACGAATTTGAGGCATTTGGCCAGATTTTCCTTTTTCTGCCCAAATTTTCCTTTTTCTGCCCAAATTTTGGTACAAGGGAGAAGAAGCAAGGATTGGGTTGCGATAATGGAGGGTTGTGGATGAAGGGGAGAGTTATTGATGAATTTCTTAATTTACCCTTACTTTTGACAGAAAATTTAACAGAGTTTGACGGAATGACTAATGGTGCAACACAACAGCCAATTGAGTGACTCCTGCAACTAATAATTGAGTTGAGTGACCAAACTGTAACTACGGGTATAGTTAAAGGACCATTGTTACGAATAACCCTATATTTTATATTCTTGTACTTATAAAAGAAATCTTCATGAAGATTTTCCTTACCCGAAGATTCTGTTAAACTGATAGTTGACCAAATTTCTTGAAAGCAATGATACAGAACGTGGTATGTAAAATATAAATACTCGTTAAAAGAGAACTAAATCATTATGAGGGCGGAAGACTTTTTTGGCGAAAAAAAAGAACTAATGACTTCATATATGAGGACATCCATCCGTAGTATCTGGAACCATGCATACTGGGGAAGGCAACATTCTTGGCCTGCCTACCCCCATGATCTTGATTCTAACAGCTTTATCCCTTTTAATATTGTTTAACAATAACAACATCATAATCACACGAATCTGATCCCTTTCACAATCTTTTAAACTAGGGAAGAAAACAAACGTTTTTACCAACTGCCTCCTGGTCTATTAGTACTTCTCTTTCCAAAATTAAAAGGATCTCAAGTTCAAATTCTCTCTCCTCGCTGATTGAAAAAAAACATTTCTTTAAATTTGTAGCTTAAACTATTAGTGATTAGCAATGGAAAACGAGATACACTACATCCTATTAAAAACCAAGCCTTACAACCATTAGGCATCAACTAACAGTGTAAACAGCTTGATAAATTCCCAAGCGCAATCGCAGGAAAACACGTTTTTTCTTTCTCTAAATTGCACAGTTGGTTGAGCTTAAGACAATGTATCCGCCTCTTTGCATCTGAATTTGAATATCCCGCCACATAAATTAGAATAGTTTAGAATATCACTTTGTTAGAAAACATATTAGTAGTGTAAAGTTTTATAACAAAATCAACCACAATCAATCTATCACCTGTAATTAAAACGCCTATGTAACTATGCTCCTTACATAATGTATGAATCTTAATCAATTACTTGGAGTCCACATGGTGTTCACATAGTTCTTATAAATAAATAAATAAAAACTCCACGTATGTAATTGACTAGATTGGTTGAATTTTTACATAGAATCAATCGTAGGCAATATATTTTAAAATCTATACATCATTCACATGGTTGCTCCATGGCCCATCTTTCTTGGCAGGAACCGAGTTACTGTGTTGACTCACCCTCGTGACATGATCATCATCCTTCAAATTACAGATGTCAGAGGCCATAACAGAGAACCAAACAATGACCGGGGTAGCAAAAAGGATGAGACCAAAGGGCACCATCCACAGTTGCCTATTTGTAGGATGATATTGATATTCCCACCATCCTAACATGAGGCCCCCTGCCACGCTCACCAAAATTGACCAAAAGCAAGCTTTCCTAGTCTTCACAACTCTTTCATGTTCCAAGTAACTTGCATCTTTCTCTTCCTTGTTCGATCCCATCAAACTACAATAAATTAAAAGTAAAAATCTAGTTCCGTCCCTGAATTCTAATTGTTTACAAGAAGAAATAAGAGAAATTGCATCTATAAATTATTGAATCTATAAGTATGATAATGCTCTTTTGCCATCACACGGTCTCATAAGAGAACATTTTCCCTATATCATCTTATATATGTTGGTAGAAAGTCTTACGTTCATAGAGTCTTACAAGAGAACATTTCTCGTACATGTACGAGTTTCATGAGAACAAAACAACAAAGCATATATAAAGAATGAACATACCTTGGTGTTATTGGTGAAGAGGAACAAGAAGCAGATTGGGAAGCGTGGAATTAAATAAGTGAGATGGGTGGTGAAGATATAGAGGGAGAGGAAGGACAAAGACCCTGAGAACAAGAGTGAGATTGTTGGGAGCTAAGAGGGCAAGAGCCCCATGACTCTGGTGGAGTGGGGTGGTGGGGCAGTGAGGGGCTTTGGATTTTGCAGGTCATATACAATACAAGAACAAGCAAGTCTGATGGATTGAGCTAAACATCAGACGTGCCTTTCTCTCAAAGTTGTTACTTGTTAAAGAGAATAAATATATATAAAAAATGAGAAAATGATTACGTATATATCAAGAGAAACGCAACGCATTTGTGAAGCTATCTGGGGTAGATTTCATATGAACCCTATTATTATATAATATTTGTATACGTCATTGTTTTTTATTCCTTTGACGAGCGGCTTGTTTGGTTCCAGAAACTTCTGAGGGCAATATTGAAATTTTATTTTTACATATTATTTTATTTTTGCTGGGCATAACTGGCAATATTATGGGCGGAACCGAGGTTCATTTCGTCCTCAGATTTTGTTTGAGGTGCAATTTCCATGTTAGTACAGTACAAAAAGTTAAGTGGTTTTTGAGGGGGAAAAAGAAGTTAAGTGGTTTCTGTTGAAGGATTTATCAAATAAGCTTATTTTAGGGACATCCTGTAGGGACAACTCCGTTTTGTATTTCAATAATTCAAACCGTCTATTTTGTAGATATTCATTCAAATATCATTTATACAAAAAATCACTTGAATCCAATATGATTTAACCACTCAATTGAATTATTGAAATTTTAGTACTTTCTTGAAACATCGTGTTCATTGATTTTGTAGGACACAATTATATGTCGAAACGATTTTCAATTTGTCTAATTTTTTGCAAGGATGACCTATGAATGTAGACTTAAAAAATAGATGGTTTGGATCGTTGTAAAAAAAATCGTAGGGGACCCAAAAAAGTGTTCCTCAAATAAAATTATTTGAGAAATCCTTCAATAGAAAATGACTATACATATAATATATAATATAGCATATACTAGCAGGTGGCATGCCGTGCAGGATGTTGATGGGAATTTTTAGGTCAACAACATGATAGATATAGATTGTGCAAGGTTTCACCTTCAAATTGGGAAATTCAAATTGCAGGGTTTTATCTTGGGATGCATTGTAGTTGGGTAGGGCTTTAAGATAGGACCTATTGAGTGGCTCTCAGCTCTTGCCTTCCTGCTTCTGCATCTTGCACTTTACACTTTTGACCCATTTTCCTTCTTTAAAAATGAATGAAAGTTTTGTTGTTGCAACCCAAAAGCAGAACTCAACCTGTCAGCCATAACTTGGGTTGGTTTTTTCTGCAATGCCAACAATGTATACAATACAACTATACAGTATAAAATATTACAACAACTTTGCTTTCCAAAAATATTCGTTTCGCCTCTTAAGAAAGTACGTAACGAGATCATAAGTCTTAACTTAAGTGACATAAAGCTCAAGCTTTCTTATAATAAGTCGACAATCATTTAATTTAATGATATTTAATCTCCACTTTGTTAGAAAAAGTCATGAGAATTATGTCTTGGACAAATAATTATGTCTGGTGTATGACTTGGACATTTTCAGATCCAACAATACTTCTGTTATTTTTCAAGCCCAAATGAGATTTTTGTTAGCTAGGGCTTGGTCTTGTAACTTGAGCTTTAAGCATTGTTTTGTTTCTTAAGGCTGAGCAGAAAGGGTTTGTGTTTTGACTCAAAAAAAAAACCTTGGGTTTGTGTTCGTTAAAGCCCAACCAATGCATGCATAGCATAAGAATTGGTATATGTCGACACCAACCGAATGTTTCAATGGCGATGCTCAAAGTTAAAATGTCGTGTTACTGTGGTGCAGTTGGCGAAAAATTACTCGACAAAATATTGTCTTGATTAACCAGCCTAACAAGAAAAACATTTCACGGTTCACAGTCGCACTCAAAACTTGTGGACACAGTTTGGACGGTTACATGATAAGATATATTACATGGAGGAGGCATACATTCGATGAAAAGATTGGAAGCTTCCTAGAAACCAAAGTAGTCCCCTTGTCAAAACCATTGAATCCATATATATTTGTGTGCTGAAAAACAATTGTATGAAACAAGGATAATATTGTTTTGTTATTTTTAACCAATCACAAGCTGTCATGTGAAAAAGTTATCACGCGTGACGTGTTGTGCCCGTAATTGGCATGAAATAACAAAATAATGTTATCTCTATTTCACCTTTGCATGTCAATGCGGCTGAGTGAGTGACGCATTTCTCAATTATTGCACGAGAGACCTCAAGTCTTGCTTATCAATATCTTTTGTCTCTCCTACGTAATTAGCAATCTGGTCCTACTCACAATTACCCTATTGCCCTCGTCCAAACAAACTAATGAATTGAACACCAATAAATTGGGTGAACACCAATACTACAATGAAAGGATGGTTCCCAGATTATACGTATAATTCATCTGATTGATTAGTAAAGTTAGGTTTGTGTTTCATGTGGTGTTATGATCACACTCATCAATTTTTTATCTTTTAAATAATTACAGTGAATTAATAGTGGATGAAATGTAACACAAACCATAAATAGGTTTAACTTTAATTCAAAGCGTCAGTTACGCTTTCCATTTTTGTTGTGTTTGGATGAAGCGCGAATAACTCTGCGACCAGTAAAATAGGGTCCAAATTAATAACGGGCGTGAAAAAAAATTTGAGAGTTTCACTTAAACACCCAAAATGAGGGTTGAAATTATAAAAAAACCCCAGCATTATTTAAACATATAAACACACCCAAAACCCATCATTACACACACTCAAAACCCATTTATAAACACACCCAAAAAGTTGACTTTGGGGTTGATTTTGGGTGTGTTTCTTTGTTTAAATAGTGCTTGGGTTTTTTTATAAATACATGTCTAGGATTGGGTTTATTTATAAATTTGTAAAAAAAGTTACCACTAAAGAAGGGTGTTTTGGGAAAATACGAAAAAATAGACATTTATCTTTGATGAAATGAGGCAGAGAGGACAGCCATGGAAACTTAAGAATATCAGAAACATGTGGCTGATTGGTGGAGTCATGTGGTGGCTTTGCATCATCATCATCATTATCATCCCCTCTCACGGGCCCCACACGTTCTCAACACGATAACGAAAACACCATAATCTCCCAATTCCATTTTCATCTCTTCATCATATGCGACTCATCGACCAAAAAAAAAAAAAAAAAAAAACAAAATATGCTACTCTCTCTCTCTCTCTCTCGCGCGCGCGAGCTCTATTTGCCACCCAAACTAGCCCAACCCAACCCAACCCAAACCCAGCAGACGCTGAAACAAACATCGGCTTATACTAAGTAGACCCCTTATCATTGAATATTCTGTCTCGGGACCGTGTGATCTTGATCGGACGGGGGATGGAGAAGATGAGTGCGGCGGCGAAGTCGCCGAGGATGAGAACCAGGGTTGGGAAGTACGAGCTAGGAAAAACTCTGGGGGAGGGCACCTTTGCCAAGGTCAAGTTTGCTAAGAACATGGAGACTGGAAAGTGCGTGGCCATCAAAATCGTAGACCGTGAGCAAGTCCTCAAGCACAAGATGGTCGAACACGTACGTATCTATGCCTCTCTCTCTCTCTCTCTCTCTCTCTCTCTCTCCCCCCTAAGCATCTATGCTTATGAATGGGGTGGCAATGGGACCCACTCGAATGCTTCATGGTAAGAGATGGGAATTCAGTTTAGTTGAAGCTGGTGATCATTGTGTTGCGGAATATTGTGGTTGGTGCATGTGAATTTTTCTGGTTTGGTATTTGGTAATTAGACATGTTAATATGGTGGGTTTGATGGGAGGTTACAAGTTTTCTTAGTAGAAATCTGTGTTTGCAATTGCCAAACATGAGTTAGTGAAAGATTAATTTTGTTTTTATTTATTTTTTTATATACTTATTTATAACTTTTTATTGACTTGGTAGGTGAGGTGATAAAAGAAAAGAATAATGAAATTTGTTCAATAATTTATTTTTTAATATATATATTATTTACCATGTGCTCAGCATGAGAATGAAGACAAGATATTGATCACAAATTGTTTTTTTTTGGGTCGAAGATCACTAATTGTTGTATTTGTTTTGTATATTGACAGATAAAAAGAGAGATATCAACAATGAAGCTGATCAAACACCCTAATGTTACACAAATGTTTGAGGTACCATCAGCAACAATCCCAATCACTTGTATTTTATTTTTGTTCAAGCAGCATTCTTTTATTGAAATCTTCATGTGGGTTATTATGAATATAGGTCATGGCAAGCAAAACTAGGATCTACATTGTTCTCGAGTTTATTGATGGGGGTGAGCTCTTTGACGAAATAGTAAGCAATTGTTGTTTGAACCTACATTCTTGGGGTTGCAAAATACTCTTCTTATTTGAGTAGTTTGTTCTTGCTTTCTTACTTATGTGGTCAGTGGACACAAGTGTTGTGTCTCTTTATAAAGCATTCCCTTATTATAAGCCTTTTGTTTGCTAGGCCAAAAATGGGAGACTGAAAGAGGAAGATGCCAGAAGATACTTCCAGCAGCTCATCAATGCTGTCGATTACTGCCATAGCAGAGGCGTGTACCATCGAGATTTGAAGCCCGAAAATCTTCTTCTAGATTCGAGTGGCCGCCTTAAAATTTCAGATTTTGGACTGAGTACGTTCGAACAGCAAGTGCGGGTCAGTGAAACTTTTGCGAAAAAGCTTTATGATGTTTAATTCCATGTTGTTAAGTTGATTAGAGATTTAAGTCAGACATTGTGTTGATACTGTGTAATGTTGTGTTTCATTTATATCATATCTTATTTGTATTTTTGGCAGGAAGATGGGCTGCTTCATACTGCCTGTGGAACTCCAAATTATGTTGCTCCTGAGGTATCTGCTTCTGGCTTTTTCTTTGCAGGAAAATAGGTCATTGCAGTGGTGCTTAATTGTTTATAACTATTTCTCACATTTGTCATTTTTGTATTAGGTGCTCAATAACAAAGGTTATGAGGGTACATCATCTGATATTTGGTCTTGTGGGGTCATTCTCTTCGTGCTTATGGCTGGTTACCTGCCTTTTGATGAACCAAATCTTATAGGGCTGTACAGAAAAGTATGTAGCCAAGTTTTGCTTCCTCTGTTTAAATGATGGGAATCTCATATGACTAACTTATGAGTGCATTGCCTACTCTTAATTTCAGATCTGCAAAGCTGAATTTTTATGTCCATCATGGTTTTCATCGGGTGCAAAGAAACTGATACAGCGTATACTTGATCCAAACCCTGTTACAGTGAGCTCCCAAACCTTTTCTCAGTGCTGAAATTCTATAAGTACTAGCTATTTCTGCACATACGTTCTTGAACATCATTATTTGAGGCCATTTTGATATGAGAATGGGCATATAATATCTAAATGCATACCATCTTTTACTAAAGATTTGCCTGGCTAGGTGTTCTTTAACTTCTTTTTTTCTGCGTGTGTGCCAGCGGATAACAATTCCCGAGATCTTAGAAAATGAATGGTTTAAGAAAGACTACAAGCCAGCACAGTTTCAAGAGGAAGAGGATGTAAATCTTGATGATGTAGATGCTGTTTTCGACAACTCGAAGGTTAGAATTGGACAGAAGTCAACTTATTCTCTAAACCATGCATTTCTTTAGTTCAATTTATTCAGAAGATTTTTAAAATTTTTGAGTGGTTGATCGCATAATTTTTTAGTTTTCACACTAAAATAGTCTCTCTTTTTTCTTCGCTGCAGGAAAAATTTGTAACAGAAAGGAAAGAGAAACCTGTATCAATGAATGCTTTTGAGCTTATTTCTAGGTCAAAGAGTTTCAATCTGGAAAATTTATTTGAGAAGCAAACGGTATGTAGCATAACATTTTCCTAATTTCTTGTTATGAATGTTTTCAATGTGGCGCTATAACTATAGTTGCGAAATACATGTTCTGTTCCAATTTTGCTAGCCAGGCAGAAACTAAGGAACCCTGTAAAAGTTAGGATCATCAGAAAATCAAGGGTGTGGGCAAATGGTGTTTTGGGACTTGTGGGTTTTGTTGAATTAAGCGCATGCTTAGTCTCAATGGGCCTTACAATACTTTATAGTGCCCAAAGTTATTCTGCTAGTGATTTGCTGCATTCTGATCATTTGGAATTCCGTACTATACAGGGTCATGTGAAACGAGAAACCCGTTTTACTTCTCAACGCCCTGCAAATGAAATCATGAATAAAATTGAGGAAGCTGCAAAGCCTTTGGGGTTTAATGTTCACAAGAAAAACTACAAGGTATGTGAATTTTACTCTTTATCGGACTTGACTTAATATGCTAGTCATCTTATCAGAACAAGCTTCCTGTTGTGTTTAGAAGTTCCAAGCAATATCTTTGCTAATTCCAAACAATTGCAGATGAAGTTGCAAGGTGACAAACACGGAAGGAAGGGCCACCTCTCTGTAGCCACTGAGGTGTTCGAAGTTGCACCTTCTGTGCACATGGTAGAGCTCCGCAAAACTGGCGGTGACACACTAGAATTTCACAAGGCAAGCCAACACTTTTGTTTTGACCTTTGTAGTTTGTGGGAAGATATAGGAAAAGAAAGGAAACAAAAACCATAAAATGCAACAAATTTGTTATTGTTCTGCTTCAATTTGCCTTCCTTTTTCTCACAAATTAAACAAGACCATTTTAGGCACTCTTTTTATTTATCAAGGGACAAGTTGCCATTGACTGATTCTGTCTTCTAAATGTCTATTGCTGCAGTTCTACAAAAACTTCTCGTCAGGTTTACAAGATATAGTGTGGAAAACTGAAGAAACTACTGAAGGATCAAGGTGATCACCCCTCTCTTTTCTTTTTCTGTGCCCGTGCTCAAGCGTGTGTATGTGTGTGTGTGTGTGCGCGGGCATTTTCATGGAGAGCATGCTTGACTGACTGTTTGATTGTCTGTGCAGGAAATAAAACTCTCCTTTCGGGTTCATCTCTTCGTTGTTTCTTCTGATCTGTTTGGCCTATAGTACTTTTAGTTCTGCGCCCTATACGATGTACAAGGGAACTGCAGTAAGGAGATATGAAGCCCTCAAAATTGAGGTCTAGATTCTTTTCCTTTTAACTGCCTCTATGAACTGAAATCCGTCAACGTTTTTGAAGAAGCTGACTACATTCAGTTCATAAGGGTGAAGTGAGAAAACTCTTCATTTGCTGCTGTAATGGGAGGTTGAACATTTTAAGAGACAATCATACGACACTTTGAAGCCAAAAAAAAACAAAAAGAGTTGCAATTTTTCCTTTGAATAAAAATAATGTGATTCTTATGCCTTAACCGTTTCATCATTCCATGCCACTTGAGTCAAAGCTCGTAAGCTTCTGTTACTTATTTATTTTATTTATAAATATAAAAATAAAATAATAATAATAATAAATAAATAAATAAACAAAAAAACTTAGACGGTTGGGGAGGGGGACGTAAAGCCAAACACAGCAAGAAACATGAGCTTCTGTCATGTTGATAGTGGCCACTCGCCAGGCAGGCATTTTACTGATTAGACCTGAAAATTAAGGGTTTTTTGGCTTGGAGAGATTTTTGATTGACCAGTTTCTTTGAAGTTGTGCATTTATGATTGTGTAGGCGGGAGGTGGCCCTGTGCTAATTGAAGTTTTAACAGGAAATTATGTGGTCTCTTTCGTACTTAACAAGATTTGAAACCAATAATGTCAACCCAACCGCATATATTGTCGAAAGTTTCATATTTTTCTCATGTTTAAGAATCGTTCCTTCCATCCAAGGGGTTTGTAGCTAACTGGTTAAGAGCATTTGCTCTTGCACTTGAAGTCTTATGTTTGATTTTCCTCTCTCTCTCTTGATATCACTCGCTTATATTAAAACCTTTAACAAATCATGCATTTTAACACGTATGGTGTAACATTTCATGGATAACACGCGACATGTGGAGCCATGTACAATTAATTAACTCTGAATCTAATGATATATTTTCCTATACATAAATGAAAAAAACTCCTAACCCGCACAACCGATGCCAAACCCTACCAAACTCCCAATTTATTAGATTTGTGCTGCAATTAATTGGGAAATGGCATGCTGTTATCAGGTCACAGTTGGCAATAGATAGTCCCCAAATTTTCCACTCGGTCATTGATTGGATTAGTTTCTAGTTAGCTGCTACAGTGGATAAAACTTGTCATATCTCACGCTTGGTTGGTCACCATTAATTTTTGTACCAAAGAAGAATACACCTGCACACTGCTTTTTTTTTTTTTTTTTTTTTTTTTTTTTTTTTTTTTTTTTTGGACCACCACCAAACCCAGATTTTGTGCATCTCTTCTCAGCTCTCTGGCCCAGTATTAAATTTAGAACAAAAGTACCGGACCATCTTTGCCTACCCAGTAGATTAGGGAACCTGTTTAGTTTTTGGTCAATGTATATTATAAAACCTAAGCACTTATTACCTTACCTTACTTTGTTGGTTAATCTAGCTTATGGGTTGACTAAGATTAAGTAAACAATCTTGTTAGGAATTTTTTTATGAAATAGGGCCAGTCTATGTGCCATTCACTGAGTGCTACCATAGCTTTTAACAGGAATAATTGTTACAACTTTTTGCTTGTTTATTCTTCTGACTGTGACTGGAAGCAAATAAAAAATAAAAAATCACTTGCCGGCATGTAATTAACGCTTTCAATTTTGTGATATTATATTAATTATTTAACCAAGTAACCTTCGGAAATAATATTTTTTTCTAAATTTTGTCAAAGTGGGTAGGTAAATATAATAGAAAACAGCTAACATCTGGGTTTGATGTGGGATGCTATCTCCTATTCAGATTTTGATTATTACACATGTACGTATTTCTGCAGGCGATTATAGTTGAAGTTATGTGGAAGAATAGGTTACCATTCATAGTTCTTGGTGTAATGCATTTTCTCTGTGTGTTTTTTTGGGTTACGGGGATGGCCGAAGCCAAAAAAAGAAAAAGCAAAAAGCAATTTCTCTTTTCAATATTAGAAGAGATGTCAAAGTTCGAGTCCTCTTTTCAATTTCTTTTTTCAATATTAGCATCTCCAACCGATGTGTCAAACGTGCCACATAGATGTTTAACGGCTAGAAATAACATCTCATATCACTCCAACCGATGTGTCAAAGCTGATGTGGAATGAAGGCTGGAGGTTGAGATGTTATTTTTGACATCCCAAAAGAAAGATGTCAAATGAATATTTTATTATTTATTCTTTTTTTTAATTAAAAATAAATCAATACTAAAATGTAATAAAATATTAATTTAATTTGACATATCGAGTGGAATGTAAAACTGTGTAAGATGTCAAATTGACACATTAACTATTAAATTTAAATTTGATGTTTGGTATTTGACATCTCCCTTGGAAATGCTCTTAAAACATAAGCTAATTAAGGAAAATTCTGAACACAATATTGTATGACTCACTTTTTACTATTTTCTTTGGGTTAGTTGTTAATTTCTTCTTGTATTCATTATGGTGAAAGGGTCAAAATCTAACTCCATTCAGTTTTACTTGTTTATCAGAAGATAGGCAAATAGGACTGATTTATTATTATTATTATTATTTTTTGGCTTGTGTTGGTGGTTGCTACTGTACTTTATTTTTGGTTGTGTTCATGAATTTACCATGGTGGAGAGTTTCTTTTCCTTTCAAGTTTTCATGGTTTATCATAAGTGCACCCCATCCGTAATTAGTGCTTCCATCATCAACGTTGCATTCAATTACAAAAAAAAATTATAATATGAGCAAGGGGAGCAAGGGACTTTTATCCACATCCAAAAAAATGATCTCCACTTATACAAAAATTTCTCAAATTCATAGTAAATTGTGGGGTGCGACTCATTTGATTGAAAAAATATTACATTAAGAATGAATTATATGACATGACTCAAAGTTCAAGTTAGTCCTTAATTAACTAGCCTCTTTTTAATACTCGAAGTGTAGTCTAGCATGCCCATAGCGTGCTCGAAGAGCTTTTTAAGTCCACAAAACCTAAAGTTGTGGATGAAAAGAAACAAGACAAACTATAAGTGGTTTCTTATAAGAAAGTAGATGTATATCCAATTTATTGAAAATAACTAAAAGGATTTTCTTTTAAAAGAAGCTAGTTATGCAATTTGATCTTCCAAATGTAAGAATTAGGCGAGCTGCTCTGCACATAAGAGTTTAGTCATCAAATTGTCGAAGTAATCTTACCCTTTCAATGGCAAGTTGGAAAAAAAACCTTGCCTGATATAATACTCCCGTTCTCCTAGGATCATATCTGTAAAAACTACTAATTACAATATTCAAACAACACATAAAAAATATCTGATTAATACTAGGGTGTTAATGCCATATATTATCTCATATTTATAGGAAAAAGAAAGTATGGTTCAGCAATTAGCACTAATTCTCCGAGTTGAAGTCCTTGTGGGAAATTGATATATAGTTGTAACTGACCGAAGAAAGATTATTGTTGTTTAGCTAATTCATGGAAAAACGGAGTAAAAAACACAGTAGACGTGGCGAAGATTGAGACAGTCGTTGTTTGCGTTTGCAGTGTCTGTTTGGTTCTTCTCGTAGACCGTTTAGCGGCTTCTTGTGCTTGCTTTGACTCTTACCTTCATTTAATGTTCTTTGATGGCTAGTCAGTCAGCTGCACCCACCGGGTCGCCACCGGCCCATGTGCAACTTCCCCAGAATACCCCTCAATTTGCCCCTTCCACATCTTCCACATTACCAATTATAAAACTAATATAATTTATAGCTTACCCTCCAAGTATAATTGCACAATCAAACAATTGGCCCCCACCCAAAAGCCCAAAAGGCCAAAAGCAGTGCATATTTACATTTGTATAAGTGGAAATGTCAAGAATGTGCAACTTTTCAGAAAAGAAGGGGAAAGGACCTTTTAGTCTCCTCTTCTCCCCCTCCTCCTCCTCCTCCTCCTCTCTCTCTCTCTCTCTCTCTCTCTCTCTCTCTCTCTCTATTATCTCACATGGGCCGCATAGTCAATTTGCCCCCATCAACATATCCCCCCCAACATTAATTTAGTCTAAACCCAAACGGTGGTTGAGCTATCTGCCTATCCTTCTCCTTCTATGAACTACTCACAATTAATTCAACATCATTCCAGCTTTCTTGCAGCACCTTACTATTAATTCTCATTTCCATGCCCCCCTTTCCCCATTCTTCGTCTTCACAACTTCATACCCCTCTCCCCCTCTCTAGCAGTGTTCGTTTTCGCTTCTTTTGTTCACACACACACGCAAACGACTGATGCTTGCATAATTCTTCGACTTATTAGAAACAGTGCTTATAATTTGGTGCTTTATAAAACACAGAGAGTGATTGTTTGAGAGAGACAATCAAATTCATTTCATCAATGGATGTTGCTCATGCTAGTAGTAATAGTAGTATAGACATGGACAATGAGAGATTGACGGCGGAGATGGCTTTCAAGGACTCGTCCTCCGCCGTCATCAAAATCCGCCAACGCTTGCCCGACTTCCTGCAGTCCGTCAAGCTCAAGTACGTCAAGCTCGGCTACGGTTACTCTTGTAACGCAGCCACCATTCTCTTGTTCCTCTTCATCCTTCCTCTCTTCGTGTCCGTGGTGATACAGCTCACCGGTCTGGAGTTGAACCGGATCACCGAGCTCTGGACCAACCAGGCCGTCCGCCTCGAGAGCATCGACGCCGCCACCCGCCTGGCCGGTTCCGGCGTCCTCCTCTTCTTCCTCGGCCTCTACTGGGCCAAGCGGTCCAGACCGGTCTACCTCGTCGACTTCTCGTGCTACAAACCGGACGACCAACACAAGCTGTCGGTCGACTCGTTTCTTAAAATGACCGAAGACAGCGGCGCATTTGCCCAGGACACGGTTCAATTCCAGACCCGGATTGCGAACCGGTCCGGTCTAGGCGACGAGACGTACTTGCCGCCCGGAATTACATCCAAACCGCCTCAGCTGTCCATGGAGCAAGCCCGGTCCGAGGCCGAGACGGTAATGTTCGGCGCGCTCAACTCGCTCTTTGAAAAAACCGGAGTCAAACCGAGCGAAATCGACATCCTCATCGTAAATTGCAGCCTGTTCAACCCGACGCCGTCGCTCTCCGCCATGATCGTCAACCACTACAAGCTCAAAACCGACATTAAAAGCTACAACCTCGGTGGCATGGGCTGCAGCGCCGGTCTGATCTCCATCGACCTCGCCAAGGACCTCCTCAAAGCAAACCCCAACTCCTACGCCGTCGTAGTGAGCACCGAGAACATCACCTTGAACTGGTACTTCGGAAACGACAAGTCGATGCTGCTCTGCAACTGTATTTTCCGAATGGGCGGCGCCGCGGTTCTACTGTCGAACAAAAGCCGGGACCGAACCCGGTCCAAGTACGAACTCGTCCACACCGTCCGGACCCACAAGGGCGCGGACGACAGGAATTACAATTGCGTTTACCAGCGGGAGGACGACAAGGGAACAATCGGCGTGTCTCTCGCGCGCGAGCTGATGGCGGTTGCCGGCGATTCGTTGAAAACGAACATCACGACGCTGGGCCCACTGGTGCTGCCGTTTTCCGAGCAGGTGCTCTTCTTCATCACGCTGATCCGGAAGAAGGTGTTCAAGGCAAAGGTGAAGCCGTACATACCGGATTTCAAGCTCGCGTTCGAGCATTTCTGCATTCACGCCGGAGGGCGGGCCGTGCTGGACGAGTTGGAGAAGAACCTGCAACTCACTGAGTGGCACATGGAGCCTTCTAGAATGACTCTGCACCGCTTTGGCAACACGTCGAGTAGCTCGTTGTGGTACGAGCTGGCGTACGCGGAGGCCAAGGGCCGGGTCGGGCGGGGTGACAGAGTCTGGCAGATCGCATTCGGGTCGGGTTTCAAGTGTAACAGCGCGGTTTGGCGGGCGCTCCGGCCTATTTCGGTCGGGGACGGGTTAGGTAACCCGTGGATGGACTCGATTGATAGGTACCCGGTTAAAGTTTCAATCCGTTAGGATTTGTCTTTGGTGGCGCCATGCCAACGGATCAGGATGCCCCAGTTCCTCTCATGTGGAATTACATGTGGCTGGGTTTATTTTATTTTATTTTTAGATTTTCGTTTGTATTTGTAATATTTTACTGAATTTCTTATGACGGCACATTATAAAGTGAATTATTTAAAAGTAATTGGAAATTGAGGTCTTCGCAAATACACACAGTGTTTTCCCTTTTCTTAATACTTTTTGTTTTTATTAGCGAATTGCCCACTTGCTGGATTTAGAACTTGCGTATTGAAAGGTTTCTTTGTCCAATTCCAATTCTGGATGGGAAGGGGACCAAGATTCCAAATTTCCATGTAACTTCAATCCTCCGTTTTCGATGCGTGAAAATAACTCAGAATTTAATTAAAAAGAAAAAATGTAAGATGTGAAAATAACTCAGAATTTAATTAAAAATAAAAAATGTAAGATGAGAAATTAAGACAATTTTGTACAATTACAATCAATGCTCATAAGAGGACAAATTTTTTATTTTTTTATTTTTAAACCTCAACTACTTGAAAATTGAAATCTAATTTTCTTTTATTTTCTATTTTATCAACATAACCTCTTGTTCATCTGTGAAATTCGAACTTAGCGCATCTTTCAGATTCGATACTTTATGTGAATATACATAGGTGTGTCTAGGGTTGGAAGACGCCAGTGGATTGGGTTTTCCCTCTTTTCTGGGTATTTGTTTTGAATCCTTCCCCACTTGATATGGCCATGCAAACTCACATGAGATGGGCATGTATGGACCAAGGATTTGTTGTGGATATTTAATTTGATTGGGAATATTACTTTTTCGTTTTATTGCTGAGCAATTTGATTGGGACATGTAACAATGTTGGTACCCAAATCACTGACCAAGAGGGTGGATTGGTTGGTTTTGGGATTATCCACATGGGGCTTCAGTGGACTGAAGCCACAAACATGACTATTCATTGTATTACTTTTCTTTTTTTGAGTCAGTTCAAATTTATTTATTTATTTTTGGGCATTTTACATTTATTAGGTTTTGTAAGTTGCATCTACTCGACACTGACTTGCAGGAATTGGGGGACTTGATCTCCTTTTTTTTTTTTTTTTTTGGGTCAAGAGGACTTGATCTCAGTCCCATCAACAAAAATGACCTGTTTATCTCATCAATTTGCACAATTCAATCATTACTGGTTTGGTCTTGTAGGCCCTTCCCTTTTCTCACAAGAACATCCATTGCGTTTCTTTGTTTGTTGCATCAGAATTTTCTGCTTCAATCTTTGCATGAGTTAAATCTGAGTGTTTTCACAAATTTTCTTGAATACAAGTGATAGTTTAAACTAAAGGGAACACACATACTCACTACTAATGTGCCATAAGAGTTGGAATATTAGAGAAACCACTAATTTGGAAATCAATGCCATTTTCATTGAGCGTTGACGAGTGTTCACAAATTTTATTGATTTGGGAAGGTCACAAAAGTTCAAACTAAACCTGCCCCTTCCCCAACAATGGCATTCATTATGACAGAGTTAATGAGTTAGCTTTTTTGAGGGAGTGATTTGTCGTCCGTTCACACTTACACTTTCATTTGTTAAGGAACAAAATCTCTCTCATTTCCAATTCCGCACCACACTAAACAAACCCTAGGCAAGTGGGTTAGGTGAAGTAAGCCTCTTTACAAGAGTTCTTGCTTCCTTTTTTTCTTTTTATTTTTTTATTTTTTAAAATGTAGCTTATTGTGAATGTATGACTCCCTTCACTCATTCTCTCTTTGAGACTAACACTGAGATAATTATGCAAATGGAATGTAAATGTGATTTTATATTCAAAAATTTGCATATGCAATGGGAGATACTCTAATTAGATATTTTAAACTAATAATATATGGAGAGGGGAATTGAACTTAAGTGCAAGGGTAGCGGGCATACTACCTTAGCCAACTAGCCTAACTCATACTTGCATTCCTTATTTTGATTCAATGAACAAAACTTAATACTTTGTTAAACTTTATATTTTTAATTTAAGTACTTATTTATATTTTGATAATATTTTTCTGTAAACTGTGTATCCCTCTCGTATAGTGAATGGCTTGAATCTGGATTAAGGTACTCGTGTGCCCGATCACTGTTTCACACTCTCCTGTCAGGCTCGACTTGGAGGGCTTTGATCGCCACCCAACAGTAACTCAGGTCGGGTCGGTATACGGGGGACCCAGTCTCTTATGACCACGTGGTGTTCTTTGGTAGGCTCGATTTACAGTGATGATATGAACCATTACCATTTTCTATTAAAAAAAGTCATGGGTTGACCCAACCTGACCCATCGATCAATCAAATAGTCCACTTAATAAAGATAACCCAACCCACATTATATGTATGGCTAACATGAAAAGCAAAGACAACCCATTTAGCAAAGAAGAAAAAAACCCGAGTACCAAAAACCACACAGCAATGTGGGCAGTGTCCTACCTGCCCCCACCAACACCGCCATGCCACCCTCTCGTACGCAACCTCAACAAACCACCTCTCAATCTCAAGAGCCTCTCCGTCTCCGCCAAGTCTCAGCCACCAGGCCAAGACCTCGGAGGCTTAGGCCATTCAATTCTCACCAAACTCAAATCCAACCACAAACCCACAACCCCAATTCTCTCAAAGCAAAAGCAAAAGCAAAGGCAAAATCAAGAGGGTAAGCAGATGATTAGTGGGTCTGATGTGCTTTTCGCTCTCCAGAAAGCAGCTGATAAGAAAAGCAGAGAGATTGGTAAGAAGAAGAAGAAGGCAAATGTGTCGTCGTCGTCATCATCATCCTATCTGGGAAGCCACGGGGAAGAGGAACGTGTGGATGAGGATGGGAAAGTGAGGCCCTTGTGTGTGAAAAGTGGGTGGGGTGATAGGTTGGATGAATTGGAAAAGCGCTTTCAGGAGCTTTCTTCTGAGGTCGTTTGAGGGTTTGCCCATCTATGCATTCCAATTGTGAATAATATTTTTATTTGATTCATATCAATGTTTTATTTTTCTTTTTCAACACTGGTCTTGTTACCCTTGCATTGTATAAATGAATCACATTCGGAGAAATGAAACTAATGTCACCTATGGACACTTGGCAATAGAGCATAGAGGACAATATTTTGAGTTTTCCATTTCACTTTCACCATATGGTGTAATTGTGTGGGCAGTTCTTCTCATGGCGATGTTTGAGCGCAAGCGATTGGGGGAGGGGGTTTACACAAATATTCATTGGGTGTTGGGATTTTGAATTTCTTTCCACACGGTGGAGGTGGAATAGCCCTACCAACTCAGCTATACCTCATTGGCTCCTTGTGCAGGACGTTAATCTTTGGACATTATCGATACAAAATCCATCTTCTATTAAAGAATGAACATCATGTCCAGAAAGTTTCCGAGTCATACTTTAGTTTCCCCTTGTAAGTAATATGGTGGCGGTGCCGTGTTTAATTATTTGGCTTCTTGTTTAAGCAGCATTGTCTTTCTTTGACGATCTAAGTTTGGTGTTTTAAAACTTATTTTCCGTGGATCTTGTTTCTTACTTGTTGTCTTAAGAAAGATGAACCTAGACTCATTTAAATTGCCTCCAATAGGTTATGATTGTTGTGTTTCTTGATCGTTTAATTTTGCCTATGTTCGAACTTTTGGGTTTGATCATCAAGAAACTTCGCATTGATCTCTCTTTACATAAGCAAGAGGAAAGAAGAAAGAAGGTAAGTCTTGGAATAGGGTTTTTCCTTGAGAGTGACTTGTGTCGCACAAGAAGATGTATATAAAATATGCAAATTACAAAGACTTTCTAGGTTTACAAATCTGAATTAATGGATACTCTATAGGACAGGACAGCTACGATTGGTTTCTTATAAGAAAGTAGGTGTTTGGCCAATCAAATTATATGCATATGAAATGCCTTTTCTTGAATTGCAGTTTGGATTGATTACAAAGACCAATTGCTGATATTCGACTCTAACATTTTATCATTTTACAAAGTTGGTATGAAAAAGCGGATTACAGTGAGCAAACTTCCCCGCTTTCAATTTGTTAATTTATTTCCCTTGAATGTCAACTTTCTGGGACACTGATGCATACATAACATTAGTTTACTTGATTCTGTACAAATTTTGTTACGGGCTAGGTTTCTTTTCTGATTTTTGTTATCATTCAATGGTTTTGATTTTTAAAATTTATTTTATACAAGCGATGGTCGAAATTATTCTAAATTAATCTAATCTACGGAAGGAGATATTCGAACTTGGATGCCATAACCAACTGACCTAACTCATTTATGCCTTCATCTTTGACATGGTGCATTGGGATGGATAGATCATAGAACACAGAAGAGCCCTGAGTTTTGAGGGGATTGAGATGACCCTCCATACGCTGAAATTACTGTGAAAAGTTGAACGTCGAAAGAAACAATTTACATTTAGTGTCGGTAGACCAAGTCCAAGACATCAAATATCCATGATCAGTGGTCATACATTTTGTACCTAATAATACATGTTAAGAATTTCCTGCAACGGAGAAGAATATGCCACGGCATTTGGCTCTGGATCTGATACTTACAGGTCCCTCAGAGTACCTGAGCAACCAAATCCATAAATTGGGTAAACCAAGATCCTCCTGTTCTGAATTTTGATCCACAATCTGAGTTGTCCTAAAACAACTATTTCTAGTTGACAAGTGTACAGAACACAAAACGTTAACTGGTCCCCTTGACTGGAAGATCCGAAATTGCGAAACATCATAATTCTACATTAATTGATATTCAGACCTGTTCTACATTAGTTGATTACATAATCAAGCAGCTGATAATACACAGTTAATTAACACACTCAAACTGCCATTATTACTAATACAAAAAACTAGCAAAATAAAAAAGAAAAAATATGCCACCTCAAAATTCGGATGCAAAATAAACTCTGATTTCTGCTAGATGTCAATGAACAAATGCCAACAAAATGCATTACAAGCTGATAAGTTAATACGTAAGAAACAATTCCTAGACTGTCAATTATCTGAAGCATTTTTTTTTGGCCATACATCTAACAGCAATGAGACACCAACATTCAGTTATAAACTTATAATACCTCATTTTCCTAATCCTAGCAGCCTTTTTCTTTTTCTTTTCTTTTTTTGCCCCATCTTTTCCATTGAAAAGAGAAAAAAAGGGAGGGGGAGGTGGCTCTGTTATTTTCGTTTTCTGTCTGATGAAACTCGTCCTCCAACAGTCACATGTTCCTTGTTTTACCCAAAAAACAACCTTAATCCTCTGCCACTAGTAAGGCCGGTACCTCCTGCCACGGTTACTTTCATCACTGCCACCACCACCTCGTCCAGGCTGTCCACTTGGACCATTGCTCCGATCCACTCTCCTAGGACGAGGAGTTGGGATTTGTGCACCAGGCTGCTGACTGCAAAAAAGCAATCTCTATGAGACATCATTCCATAATTATTTACTTTTTTTTTTCTTTCTAAAAGAACCTCCCAGAAAACAAATGACAACTTACAGAACATAGCCAATTCGACCATCTGGTAGAACCATAGGCACCATGTGCATTCCTGCAGGCATTGGCCCTCTACCATATATCATTGGCTGTTCATGAATGGAATCCGTTATAAGACATTACTCTGATACAGGATTCATACCAAGACAAAGAGGAACAATATAAATTTGGTGATCTACCTGCTGAAAACCCGCAGGAACACTATATCCAGCCCCTACAGAGCCATATGGATTTCCAGCAAAACCACCACCATAACCTGGGTGTGGAAGGTGGTTTGCATGAGGCCCAGCATTGTAGGGATAAGCCCCATCAGATTTTTTCTCAGTTTGAGGCTTTGCAAGGACAACCTCCAGTGGCTGACCTGTAAAAAAATCGATGGACGAATTATTTTTGGAGACACTATGAGCTCAAAAAAAAGAAAAGGAAGTTTCAGATCAGTGTCTATCGACCAACTCAAAATATTATACAAAATCAGATAAAGAAATATGTAACAGAAAAAACCATCCTCCCCATTGATTAATATTCAAATTAAGTAGCTTTACACAACAGCAAAAACATTTCAATGTAAAGAGGAACTTGCCCTGTGACAATAACCATGATATGTCCCGCAGAAGCTGTTATTTCAAAAAATTTACAATCAAGTTCATAAGGCCACCACCATTTTTCTATGTTCTAACATGTCGGGTTACAGTATAAATAATAGAAATCTAAGTTTGATATCTGACTTAATTGCAACAACTTTACATCACAATGATGAAAAGAATAGACCGTAATTTTTTTTAAGTACATTACAGCAGCCATCTATTATTTGATGTCTATTCCGAAATCATATAGCATTGCGTTCTACATACTGAATCTTGAAACAGAACTCCAAATCTTAAAACATTTTGAAACAGAACTCTATATGATTTGATTTAATTGCCTCATTTCACCTATCCACAGAGAAAATAGTTGTGCCACAGAATGGCTGGCCGCTTGCCAGCTTTGGAATTTCGGTTATAGAATTCAGAGTGCCGCCCCTACAGACATGATTCTTATCGCTTTTGAAGCTATTATTTTTGTCTGCAGGCCTGGGGCAATTTGTGCCCCTTGTAGTCAGTTTCCTTGTGTTTGAGCCTCAGGCACATAATCTACCCAAAGAAAAACAAAATAAGCTTAAACAAAATCAATCTTCCATGTACTTGATTTTAGAGGCACAAACCAACTGATAGAATTTTCACTATTATTTTGGTTTCATTCACTAATTTCTTTAGTTGAGGATTTCAAAAATCAGGGCACTGAAAATTGACCCTCAACTGTATATGCTTAACTTAGAACAAGCTGCAAGTATGTTAAAAGATGAATAAGTCCCGTTCCATCAAACTAAAATCAGTAAAAACAACTTCTAAAAGAGAGGTGTATCTCACTGGATCTTAAATTATCAAAAAGCTCCTGATGAGATGCAAAATACGTACCATCAATTTCATATTTCTCAGTATCTTTGACGGCCTTCAGAGCACTTGACCTTTCAGCAAAATGGACGAATCCAAAATCCCGTTTTCCTTGGCCACCTTTTCCAGGTGGCATAACCACTTTTGTTACTTCACCATGGCGCTGAAATAGTTCCTTCAGCTTTTCAGTGCTAGTGTTCTCAGGTATGTTTTTAACATAAAGAGCCTTCACCTGAAAATTGCAAAACCAAAAACATATAGTCAGTAGATAGGGCAGGGAAACATAAAACATAATTGAACATTTTAAACAGAAGATAAATGGTCGCAATGAAACTAAACATGAGCTTTTAAATTCTCGTTCTGAGTTTGTCGACAAATTTAATAAGTTCATATCAAGTCAAGCTATGATTCATATGAATTTAAAGATCTGAAAATATAACTAGAACATATATCTATACTAATATAGAAAGCCAACAGCCAACAATCCATTTAGGTTCTCCACTCTTTAAATTCTGAGAAAAATATCCCTTACTAAACTTAAAAATAAGAAAAAGGGGCAAACAAAATACACTTTCCAATCCACTAAACGTAAAAAGAAGAAAATAAATCCCTCAATAAACTTACAAAGAAGAGGAAAAAAAAATTCCAATTCACCCCAATATTCTTACAAAACTAATACGTTTCCATTGCGGTTACAAATTTAATAAAAAAAATCAACTACTTATCATTTCTTTTAAGATTTTATAGAAGGCCTTATGTGATACTTAAAGTGTATTTTTAGGAATGATTTTACAAGCAGGGTCACTGCAATGCCCCAAAGCTTGTCCCAAAAGCCTAGGCTATTGTATGACAGCTTGTGAGGAGTGTACCACCATGCTAGTGGTCTTCCTCAAGTGCCAGTGGGAAGATGCAGTACAGTGAGATTGACTAACAACCAAGATGCACACGTATCCCCTGGGATGCAGCCCAGTGGACCATGGCTAGTTGATCGTTTGCATTGATGTGGTACCAGATGCAGTTCAAACATAATCAGTTAAGCTTCTGATATACTTTTTATAAATAAAAAATCTGCAAACTGATAATTAAGGCCCTGAACCTAGAACTTCCATTCAATTGGAAATTGGAGTTACCTGAGCAGCAGCAGAATGATCTGAAGTACTTTTTGGATCAGCCCAGGTCACAGTTGGTGAATTTCCATCCAGCCTAAAATTTGAATTTGACATTTTCTGTCTTGAATAATCAGCGCAGGCATTATTATAATACAAAACAAAAGCAAAACCACGATTTCTGCTTGGATTTTGGGGATCCTGCAATTAACAAAAGATAATTCTGTAAGAACATTTATCCAAGCTGCTATTAACCTCCAAATTAACATAACAAAAGAAGAGTTTAAAGATCTAACCTTTATTAGCTCAATGTGCTCAACCCCAGGACCAACCTCCTCAATGACTTTTCGAAACTCATCCTCAGTCCAGATTTTTGGAACATTACCAATGAACAATCTATGCTTCGTTTCAGAAAGTGAACATCTTAAGTTTTTACCCTGCAGAGATGAAACACATTATAGATCACAATCAGGCTGGACATATTTTAAAAAGGAACGAAGGCAATACTACACAGCACTGCAAAAGAGAAACATCACTACCTTGAATGCTTTATTGTGTAATTCTTCAATGGCTTTTTGTGCTACCTCTTTAGTCTTAAATCCTATAAATGCATAACCCTTGCTTTCACCAGTTTCTCTGTCTTGCATTAATCTTATCTGCAAAATAATTAACGAATCAAACCCTCACAGAAAATCAAACTACCACTCCAGACAGCCCCAAACAGAAAGCCAAAATGTTAGAAGCACAAGAGGTTGCAGTTCTGACCTCAATAATTTCGCCTATTTCATTGCATAGATCCCTCAGATCTTCTTCCAAGGTGTCTTTAGGAAGTCCACCAATGAAAACTTCAGACCCATAGGGAGGAAGGGCAAGAAGTTGAGCATGTTTCTCTTTCTCCTCTTCATTGACAGAAGCAGAAGGTTTCTCTTCATCGTCCACAAATTCACCAGCATTATGGCTTTCATCTGGTTCTGGTGATTGGTCTTTCTCACTAGCCTTAGTTGTAGGATCTTCATGTGCTTCTTCAGCATTCTCCTCCACATTTTCATCACTGCCTCCATCTACCCCATCCACTCCATCTTCATCTATTTGCTCTTCTACATCATCATCCATCTCTTCCATGTAGTTGTCTTCGTCAAGATCCACCCGCTCCTCAACTTCCGCTCCTTCTGCCATGTCTGGTTCAAGCACCAACTTTTGTCATCCAATAACTAATCCAACTGTCAACTGAATGAGCAGCAGGCTCGTAAAATAATTATGGAAATTGCGCCGACCCCATGAGAATTTGCATGAAAGGCATACATATACACTAGTGAAGAACTAACAAATGTTAAGCTCAGAAGAACTTCCGAAGCAAGAAAAACACCTAATAGTTGTTTCTAAGCAAGAGGCAATGGAAAACCCAATGCCAAGGGAGACTTGTAAGAAATGCAACAAGAGACTGGCCAACTTTCCTGGACGCCCCATGGTTGCTGGTAAACAACACAGAGACCTTATAATTGGCAATCCAATTATAGAACATTTATCAAATCCAAGTTTTCTTTTCTAACCTCGTGAATCCATCAAGCAAATGGAGCACAAGAAGATAGTAGTAAACAATGTCTAAATATAACATAAAGGGTTATGCACTATTTTGTTCATGCACGAGTGTCAGAATAACTATAAAAAAATGTTAAGCCAATAGTTTTTGCATTTAAGGATTACCGCAACCTAAAAACAACTTAGATTAGAAAAAAAACACAATGCTCTCTTTCTAATATAAGTAGATAACAGATACTAGGGCTAACCCCTCTCTGCCTCCACATTACAGTTAGTTCAAAGGGGTAAACAAATTCATCTAAGTGAAATAGACAAACCCATTGATGAAATTGCCGTAGATAAAAAACCCAATAGAGAATACAACTACTTGGCTGAGAAAAACCCCTGCCCAACTGAACAACCCAAGCCAACCAATCCTATGCCTATAACAATGGGGAGAAAGAAAATCAATTAGCACAGAGAGAAGAACTACAGAACTAGACAAAGACAAGGCAACAGAACCCAGAAAAGGAGAGATTTTGTGGATGTGAGATGAGAATGCTCAAAAGCGAATCAGAAATACATGGGGCAACGCAACTAAGGCATACAAAAAGTTACACCACAACATCAGAAAAATTGAAACAGAGTGAGACTTTGCGTACCAGTGGTTTTGGGAACAAAGATTTGGTTGTTGGGTTTTTGGCCTCTGGGTTTCTCTCTCGTACTTGGGGAAGAAGAAGAAGAAGAAGAGAGGCTTCGAAGGGTGGGTTTGTGTTGTTATCCGACGAAACCCCAAATGGGTTTTCTTTACCGAGTGCCCCTATTTGGGAAAGAAAGTGAGAGAAAACGCACAATGAATGCGGTTACACCTCATTCTTGTGAGGTTAGATACTTCTACCAATGAAAATACGCCATGACAGCGCCACATCACTATTATGTTTTTCCAGGTCACATTTTTGTTTTTCCACTTGTATTTAGTATAAAAATTATGCTAAGGTAAAGTCGAAGGCATGAAAAAATAGAGTGTTGTTAAACGAACCTTAAAATTAACTGAGTACACTATAATGTTTAAATTAAATGGTAAATTACTCAAATGGTCTTCAAACTTGTACTCGATTTACATTTTGGTCCCTAAATTAAATTATTAGTCCAAATAGTCCATTAACTATATATTAATCGCTTCATTGGTCCTACGTCTAATTTTTTGTTAAATGCAACCAAATTTTAGGGGCACATACGACTTTTTATAATTAACAAATAAAATAGGGTTAAAATAAATACAAAATTAGAAGAAAAAAAATCATGAGACCCAAACCCCCTCCCTTGGATTTCTTCTCCCCCATTCCCTACAGACCTCTCCAATTACTGTGTTTGTAAAAAAAAAACGATGGTTTGTCAATGGCCTTCAACCATTCAGCCCAACAATTAATATCCAAAATAATACTAACAAAGGTTGCTGAAGAGACGCAGAGGAAGAGGAAAGCTCCTGAGGAGGTGGGCAATGGCGAAAATAGTGGGAGTGTTGGCCATGGTATTGATGGCATAAATCCCCAAAACTCTCGTAGCAATTTCGGCGTCTTGGTCGAAGAACCGGTACTTGTACTTAGAGGGTGAGAAATTGACAGTGGTTGTGATTTTGGGAGGTGGGGTTGGCGGGTGATGAGGTGGGGGAGGAGGGTGGTGGGTGGTTGTCTCTCAACAACAAAGGGAAATCAAGGGGGAGGGGGAGAGGGTATGGGTGGTTGTTAAGTTGGGGTTCTGGGTTAGTTGGGAGGGGGTTTGTGGAAGATTTTTTTCTTTCCTTTTTCTGTAGTTGCTGGCTTGGGTGGAGGGTGGGGAGGAGCTGGGGTTTTGGGTTCATAGGGCCTGGGATGGAGGGTGGTTGTTGGATGGGTTTGGGTGGAGAGTGGTTGTGGGATGGGTTTGGGGGTTGGAGCTTGAGGGTGGTGGCCATGGGGGAATGGAGAGAGAGAGAGAGAGAGAGAGAGAGAGGGTGGTTGTTGGATGGGTTTGGGTGGAGAGTGGTTGTGGGATGGGTTTGGGGGTTGGAGCTTGAGGGTGGTGGCCATGGGGGAATGGAAAGAGAGAGAGAGAGAGAGAGAGAGAGAGAGAGAGAGAGAGAGAGAGCTTTTATTTATTTTTAACGTACGAAATAACCAATTTGCCCTCATATTTAATAGCAACATTGACAGAATGTAACGATAGGACCAATAGAGCGATTAATATATAGTTAATGAACCATTTGGACTAATAATTTAATTGAGGGACCAAAATGTAAATTGAGTACAAGTTTGAGGACCATTTGAGTAATTTACCCTTAAATTAAAATGTAAAATTAATTAAGTACACCATATTTAACTACCAAAAATACCCATGGTACACCCTTTTTAATTTTAATCTTTTAAAGTATTTAAAATAAAAAATTACAGTAAAATAATAATAAAACAATAATTTAACAAAAAACTCTCTCCTGCTTCTTCTTCTTCTTTTTTCTCTCTCCCATGTGGTACCACCACCACCACCACCTGGAATTGCAGTTCTCCACCACGACAACCATGGGTTTTTTTAGAAACATCTAAAGTGGGATTGGGATTAGATTGTTGCATTTGAGAATTGGGTTTTAATGAGTTGCCGTTGGAGTTGAAGGAGAAATGGTGACTAGGGTTGTTGAGGGGGAGGGGTGGCGTTGAGAATAGGGTCTCAAGGGAGTTGATATATGCTGTCCCCAAATTCCCTATCTGCTCATGTCCTTTATCTAAATTTTTGACACGTGTCTCCACCTTTAACAATACACAAACATTGTTAACTTGTATAGAAAATAATGTAAAATATCAATAGGCATTTTGAACGCATCTTCTCCCTCAACCATGGCAGTCACAGACTCTCCTAGCCTCCAACCTCGCAGCGGAAGTAAAATCTGTCACCCATCTCTCCTATCTTCAACCTTGCAGCGGAGAACTCTTTGGGTGTGGGTTTCCAATATTTCAGCATGAACTGGTTTGTGCTATTGATTGTTTAAGTTTTATGCATACAAAAATCAACTTGGATCAATACACTTCTCCTGGATTCTGTGTTGTTTGTTAAAAATTAAGTCAATTTGTTTGAAGGCATGGATTCAAAGCAATAGATGCCAATATTATTTTATCTTTTTTGGTCATTTTATATTAGAGTAAATTAGTAATTCAATAAATAATTTGATAATAGAGTGTACTCATTTAATTTTAGAATTCGTTTAGCAACACTCAAAAACTATGAGCCAGTAATTGATATGAGTTTTGTCAGAGTCTTACACTAATCAAGGGTTATCACGTTATCGAGCCATTAATTAAGATTAATATCACTACACACGGGAACTCGTGTGAGGGGGTTTTTGTTTTTGCGTTTTTATCACATCGCGGAGCTTACACTAATCAACGACCATCACCCAGACATATGCGAGGATAAATGACCGTTGTGTTGTATTCTCGGTAATCTTGGTGTATTTGGTATGCTTCTATGGGACTAATGACTAAATTACAAACACCCACTACAAAGAGGTATGGGGATCCAAGTGAAACTTCTGAAAAAAATTTGTGTGAGGATGTGAACTGTGGACTAGGTAAAAATACAGAGGTCAATTTGTCCACTATGTTTTGCGCATCAATCAGCTGTGCAAAACAAATTTGAATTCTCAAAAAAAGCAAAACAAACTCATGATCTAATATTGATATTGTGAATTTTAAATCACCAAATTCCTGGCTACCATTATCAGAAAGGAGTTTGGACATGATAGTTGGAAGGCGAACAGAACCTATCATGCCCTCAACAATCTCCTCGATGAACCGAGAGAACAATTTTCTTAAGATATGAACACCTTTATGGAGCTTTAAGGCATTGCTGAAATGCTCAGTACGTGCAGAACCACTTGATACCAGACTTCCCATAGCAGTATCAAGCTTGATAAATTTTTCATTGAGGGTGGAAAGTGTAAGTAAAAGAGCACCGCCATCATCACCAACCCTTCCCAACAAGAATGATGCAGCATCTGTTATCCCATATTTCTGGCACAGGCGTAAACAGTGTTCCTTCTGCGCGATAGCTATCAAAAGTGTCTAGGAATTTGAGAACTCGATTGCGCTCATACTGACATAACAGCTGAAAAGGTAAAATGTGAAACAGGGTAGCTACGAAACACGCTCACTCAACTCTTACAAGTCTCGTATTTAAAATTTGGCCAAAATGAATATACTGACATGATAAGAACAATATTATCTCCCTCACCCCATTAAGTAGGAATAATTGTTTAACTGAGCACTTGATTTGAAAATATCCATAAAAGAAATGAATCACAAAGAGAATATGATGCAACTGAAACACAGAATCATTCAATAAAATCAAATTAAAGAGGAAATAAAAAAACCAGATATAATTGTACAAAGACCTCACCTCCAAATAAAGTTCAATCATATCATCGGTCACATTAACAGGATTGTTACGCAAAAGCTTTGGGAAATCAGAGATCCTTTCCAAGTAAGCCTCAACTGCTTTTGATTGATCCTTTACCCTCACAAGATCATCTTTTCTTAAACTTGAAAAGTCGAGGGCCAGATAAGTGAACCTCAATCACCGAAGAATAGGCTTTTTGGATGGGAACGAAGTTCAGAAAGGATATGGGAGCCTTCTTCACTAGTAAAATTGTTGATAACCAAGACGAACGTGCCTTCTCTGCATAGAATAAGAAAATAATTGAGATTGAATAACTGAGAAGGAAGACCTCCACTGAAGAAAATAACCTACATATTACTTAACATATGAAAGAGGAAAAACAAAAGAGAAATTCAAGATAACTAAGGGATAACCTATTTAAGTAAAAAAAACTCTGGAATTTGATAAATTACTTCTGATTGAAAAGCAGTGGATTCATTGTCAGTCAGCCACAATAATATTTTGTTAATAAAGGAGAAGGCATGAATGGGTTCATCTATATCTTTCATGTAGCAGTCCAGAGCAGCAAGATACTGATGTCTGTTGGTATGAATTAGGCCACAAACCTAAAATACTCCAAGAGACCTTGTAGTGAGTAATCTCAAACTGAACGAATTGTAACAACATGATTCTGAGACAACATTGTACGATATCGGTAAATTTACCTGGTAAAATCACGCTTTCTCATAAAATGAATCCCAATCTGTCTCAGGCACTACCTCAAGAAGGCCAAGAACCTGTTTCTCTCTTCTTTTTGGAGTTATGCTATCTCCAGCAACCCATGATGGAAAGTTATTCTTTGACGTCAAATACTCCAAAATTTGAGACAATACATGTTTCGAGACATTAGCTCTTCCACATGCAACATAGTACGCAGTAAACTCAAACAGATGACCAATGTCTTTCTTTGAAGGCCAGTCTGCTATTGATGCAGTGTCATCATTGCCAGGAGATCCATCTATTGGGGAGATACCCTTAATAATAATATGAATGAGAGTATCTACTTTGAACCATTGAATTCTGACTTTGTGCCATTGAATTGTTCCCATCTGGCGGCTCCATATTTGCATAAGCTGAATAATGAGAATAAATGTTGGGTTTTGAGATTTCATCTTCAATGAAAGCACATCTCAGAACGTCTAAAGTAGCTTCAGTATCTAGCTCAAGAGAAAATACAAGTTAAGATATTCTCCTGCTGCTCTTGAATTAGGAGCATCAGAACCCTCCAATAAAAATTGCAGAAGTTCTGTTCTGACTGAGAGATGGCAAGCGTGAGAGAGGAATTATTCCCTGTCCTGCAAATAGAGATATTTAATTCAAACTCTCTTAATCAGATTATGTAAGTTAACATCCAGCAAGAAATGAAGCTATGCAACTAATTCAAAATGTGTTCCAGTATAAAAGAAAGTTAGTCTTCCTTCACCACTTCATATTTATACTGCACGATTTATATCTCTTTTTCTATGAATCAAGACCCACACAACCAATTCTAGATGGGATTATTGCACAGAGGGATATACTGTGATATTCCAATTGAACAACTCCAATAAGTGAAGTCCATACCTAGTGGAAAAACAAGGCCTGAAAAGCAGTACTTCAAATAAACTAGCATCCTGTTACTGTAAACAAGAACAAACTAAAATAAGGCCACTTAAAAGCCTCCTTGGAAAACTGACAAAATGCAGCCAAAAACTAACATGAAATGATGTGATACAACTCATTATATTCTCTGAGTAGGATAATAGTAAGGGGTAGAGATGATACAGGACGGAAGGAGAAGCAAACTAAAATACCAAAACACCCATGTCGGTGGAGTTGCAGTTGCTTCAAGCAAGATTGCATTCTTTTGAAAAGCACTTGCCACGTTTATGGCTGGATTAGTGACATACAAAAAAGGTAAAGCCAGTAACTTGACCAAAACCAGGGAGCAAAATAGTAAGAAGCATCTAATAAGCTCTCCTCGGTTTAGCCCGTATCTTTTTTATCAAGTAATCCTCCAAACCAATAGCTGCCTCCACTATTCTGGTGTTTGGCCTAATTTCCACCTTCATTACCTCTCTCAGAATTTCCTCCAATCTCTCTAGCTCAATCTCTTCGCATATCCCAGGAACTATTGTAAGCCAAGTATCTGTATGAGGAACCTCCCCGTGCTTTAGCACCTCCTCCAAAACTGCAAATGCTTCCTCAACCCTACCCACATTACAGAATCCTTTAACTAAAGCATGAACAACCGAAAAATGTGGAGAAAACCCCTTTGATATCATTGTCTCCATATAACTCTTTGCCTCATCAAGCATCCCATGATCACATAACCCGCTAACCAAAGTCCGATAGGACACCAAATTTGGCAAGCACCCATTTGATGCCATATCCTCAAGAACCTTACGGGCATCAACTGGACGCCCTTCTCTACAAAATCCTAAAATAACAGTATTATAATGCACAATATCAGGATTGCACCCCTTAACCTTCATCCTACAAAGCAGCTTATACGCCTCGCGAAGCTTCTTCTTCCTACACAAACTATTCAACAAACTAGTGTAACTCAACGAATCCGGAACGAACCCTTTGTTCAACATGTCCTCCAAAAAATCAACCGCCGTATTCACCTGACCCTTCCTACACAACCCCTGCATCAGAATCCGATACGACTGTACATCTGGAACAAGGTCTCTCTCAAACATTTTGTTGAACAGCTGGTAGGCAATGCTAAGATCCCCATTCAAACAAAAAGCACGCATCAAAATGTTGTAAGACTGAGTATTGGGCATCACCCCATGACGGTGAGCGTCCTTGAAGACGTCGAACGCCGGGCGGAGAAAGTTCCGGTGAGAAACGAGGATTTGAAGAATGTGATTCAGGTGTTTGACGGAAGGGCTGCAGTCAAATTCCACCATGGTGTAAAAGGTTCGGAGGGCTTTCTGTGGCAAATTGGCTTCGCCGTAAATCTTGATCAAGTGGGAAAAGAGAGCCGGGGAGACAGAGTAGTTCGAGGTCTTGAGGCGGATGAGGAGGTCGTCGACGAGAGAGAAGTACTTGGAGCGGCCGAGCTTGAGGATCAGAGTGAAGAAGGAAGAGTAGGAGTGGCGAAAATGGGGTTGGCGGGCGGCCAAGTCGAAGATCTCTTTGGCGAGGAGAGGGTCTGATTGTGAAGCGATGAGATTTTGGATCCTGGAAGGGGAGCCGATTGAGCCGATTTCGTGGTTCTGGTTATGGGGTTGCGATGAGAGGAAGAGGACGAAGGAGGAGGGGGATGGGGGTTTTGGCGGGAGGGCCAGAGAGCGAGTGACCGTTACTGCGGCTTTTGATGACCGCTGATAGAGCAGATGCATTTTTTCTCTTTGGTTGTTTCGTGTTCTGTCATTCCCAATCCTAGCTACACAGTCAATATGATATGAGAGTGGAAAATACAGACTTGGGCAAACGACGTCGTTGTGGTAATAAAATCCCATGCCTATTTGTAACACGTTACATTTGTTTCACATCTCTAAGTCAAGTATTAATACTAAACTATACTATTTATGATTATTTTTTTTTTCTGAATACAAACAATAGTCTAAACTACAAAGAGAATGAGTTTTCACACAGACACTATCGAGGTGTCATGAGCTTTTGAATCTAAGATCATTGATCTACAAATTAATGTCCTTTTCTATTGGGTTAGACCTCGTTAACATACAATTTATGATTATAATTCCATGAATTGACAAGTTTTTGGCTTAGTCCAATAATGAACTGATGTTCGTAAATTTGTGACCAAAAATATATTTAACTCAAAAATTAATGTTCAATAATACAATCAAATAAAAATTAAGTCATATTGAAGATTAATTTTACTCCAACCAAGTATTTAATTCGTCCAACTATCAAAGATTACATGAGTAGTAGTAGGATATCTAGTGAGTGGGCTTTTGAATGGACAATGTCAAGTTGCCCTAGCTATAGCTTAGCTTCAAATTTCAACCGACGGAAGAGGAGCTCGAAGATCCATTTAGATGTAATTTGTGATCTAGACTAGTTAGCGGCACAGTTCTTAGCCACAAATGTACAAATCCTTGCACCCTCAAAGACTTTCCCAGGTCTACACAAGTATCCCTTGCTAGGGGCACAATGGATGTCCTGTGAGCAAATGCACAACCCTTCTAGTGCACACCCCTCTTTCACTATAGTCACCCCACCCTTAAGACCAAGGACTTGGTCTGTCCATTCACTAGAGAAAAGCCCCATTGGATCATAAACATCTTTAACCCTCAAGAACTCTTTGGCGCGCTTGTACTTTTTCATCACTCCATCAAAGACTATGTTCCTGTTCTTTCCCCAATGTGGCAATGCTCCATACTTGAACACCGCCATCTGCTCTATTTCTTCAAGTATGCCTTGGTAAAGCCTAGGAGCCATGGGGTCTTTGCTTCGATAGTACGTGATATCGAAGTCAATTGCATTTTCTTGCTTGCCAAGGTAAGCGCTTGAGGCTGTAACGTAGCGCAGAAGGATGCCATTGTAGATATCTACTCCACACAGAGCTTTGGGTTCAATCTCCACCAGCTTTTTCACATCTTGAATGAAATTTTTAGCCACAGACAAGCTGATGCTGAATGTTGTTTGATGAAAAAACTCTCCCTTGATCCTGGGGTCCCATGCGCATGCCGTTATCCTTGCATCCTCAAGACTGTCAAGGCAGGTCCCGGATGCTTGAAGGCGGTTCTGATATCCAATAACAGGATAGCCAGTAAAGATCACACCTATAAATTCAGTAATTAATTAGATACTGAACAGAGCAATATGCAGTACAATTTTGATTGATGTTTTTGAAGTTTTTTCTTTTTTGTTTTTAGAAATGAAGTTGAGAATGATTTGGCAAGACAAGCAAGGCAATAATACCAGAAAGAATTAATGCATACCATTGTTTGTTAAACCATAAGCATTGTTTATGAGAGCAGATGTGACCAACTTTGCACCAGAGCATTTCCCATCAGCATCCCTAGTGGATTCTTGATTCTCCTCTATCACAATAACAAGAATTTTATTTTAAATGTAACTTTTAATTAGCTATGATGGCCATGCATATGCAAAACGTACACTATATAAATAAAGGGTGCCAACAGTTTGGCATGTTGGGTTGTCAGACTTTGAATGAGTACATGAAATCATATACAAGCATACAATTTTGATTCACAATCTGACAACATAAGACGTCAATTGTCAAATAGATCATCTCTCCAATGGACTAGTTTACAATTGATTCATCCTTCATACAAGATCGGTCCTCGTTCTTGCTAATGCAATTTGCTTGAACTGAACTAATTGAGGTAATTAAGCTAGCCAAACCTGTGGTTCTGATAATTGCAAGTTCAAGTGAAGATGTGGGTCGGAAAGGAATGAAGTCAAAGAAGCCATTGCCAGAGGTATTTGAGGAGACTCGATCATCCATCCGATAGACTGCCTTGTGCTGGCTGGGGTACCATAACACGTCTGCAAACTCATGTTGCTTGCCAAACCCAACTACTTGATCTCCCAAGTCAGAATCGCTCTTGCGTAAATATGTAATGGATCGTTTAAACATGGGTTGCAAATTTAGAGTAACCTACCAAAGACAAAGTTGGACAAAATTTAGCTTTTGTCTTTGATTGCAAACTAAATCAAATTATAAAAATAAGATTGTAACTTTTTAAAACTCAAGTGAAAATCTAATTATTGAACTACGTGGCCACAAAATGAACATGAATGTGTGATTTGATTTACAGTCTAACAATATTGTTTAGAGCCTAATGATTTGTGTTAGATGCCGTAGTACATATGGTTCTCGACTATAAATTGTATTAATTTAAATAAAAGAGTACCTGTGAAATTACTCCTAGAACTCCAAGTGAAACTTTGGCTGCATTAAGATCTTTATCACCATCACTGAGCCTCCGAATCTTGACATAACCATCTTCAGGCCCTCCTGGACTTGCAATTCTAAGCCCTACCACATAATCATGCACCGAGCTTCCCTTTCCCCATAATGTGCTGCCATGTGCCCCAGTCCCCAACATGCCTCCAATGGTCAAGCCCCACCAATATGGTGCATAAGGCAAGGCCAGCCCTACCTTGGCAGCCTCACCGATGAGCTGCTTGAGAGTCACCCCACTCTCCAATGTCATGGTCTTTGCTTCAGCATCAATCTCCACCACACGATTGAGGTACTTGGTGCTTATGATCAGCCCATCTTGGCCCCCTGGGCAAACCAGCTTTGGAATGCTATGAGAGAAACGAGTTGCCACCTTCATTTTGGTCTTGCTCTTTGTTGCATAGGCCACAACTGATATTAGTTCTTCCTCTGTAGAAGGGTACGCTACACTGCCTGCCCTACACACCGTTCGATCGGGGAAGGTGCCATAGGAGTTTGTGATGGTGCAGTTGGTGTTGCTGGATGATGAACACTTGATGTGCTCTTCTGGAGGAGTTGAAATGCAGACATAGAATGACGATGAGAACAGACAAGTGAAAAAGAGAAGGAGCCCCAACATACCTGATTTTGTGCATAACAAAGACATGGTTGATGGGTCTTTTTCTTGATAGTGTGACATTGTAACATATAGTTGTTTGGGCTATATAAAAGTTGTGTGTGTGTGTATATATATACACTTTACAAGAAATGTAAAAGATTTAAGCTTTGGAATGCTTTCAAGTCAATGCATTATTAGTGACCAGCTAGCAGTTATGTTTTCTACCAAAAAAACAAGACTAGCAAGTAATGGGTAATGGGATGTGCTATTTGATTGGGTTTAGATCATTCTATCTTTTTTCCCATTATTGATATTGTTGGCTGCTCGTGATCACAAGTTGACAGGTGTGGGGAATGTGGGTCAGTTTATTTTGTTTAACTTGAAATCAAGGAGTGTTTGTTGCTTGCAGGGACTGGTAGCTTCAAAATGAATAAATTTTTTGAAGTAAATAGATAGATAAAGAGTGGAGGAAGGGAAGCCATATATAGGTGTTGGTTTTGTATTGTGCCACCCACCTGTTGAAATTCTAAACAAAACTCAACCTAATCCCTATCAAAAGTAACTCACATTTTCAAGCTAGTGGATTATGCCAGCACAAAGACTAGTTGTTTCTATAGTGTGGCACTAGTTAATGGATTGTCCATTGTGGAAATGGCGGTGAATGAAGTGCTTCACTTAGTCTTCCCTTTTCAATAAATCATATATATACATATACCTATCTCATTTTTGGATACATACCTATCTCATTTTTGAATGCACCTTAAATGATAATCTAAAATAAACTATGAGAGAGAGGGATTCGAATTCGGGTGCAGAATGGAGAGCACATCTACTATAACCAACTTAACTAAACCCATGTATGCTTTCGATACACCTTAGTCACTGAAAAAAGCTCAGACTTTGGGGGTTCCTAAATGCACCCAACAATTTGCACAATGCAGTCACCCCATCCCAGCCATGTCTGTGATTTTTCTTGTTTGATATTTTTAATCCATAGATGGAAAGCCCAATTGCTTGCAGAATCCATACGCAACCCTTTATTTATCTTAACATGAATTATACTCCAACACCACATATATTCAGAAACAAACTTATTTTGACAAGTTGAAGCTCGTTTAGAGAAACATTTTCATTTTGGGTTTTTCTGTTTCTTTATCTAAATTTAGGGTATTATCATATGTATATATATTTGTACATAACACCTATTCTATCTATGACCTGATATTAGCAAAACTCCTTTGTGTGTGTATACAGGTCACCCACCCCCACACATAACACCTGATCTTCTCAATTTTCTTTTCTTACTATATATGAATACAATGAAGACCCAGAAAAAAAGTTAAAATAAAAAAATGCAGGCTAGAAGAAAATGAAATGCTTGTTCTTCTTCTCTAGCATTTATCCAATTGTAATTTGTATGTGTGTCTTGAAATTCTTCCCTCCACAATCAAGTGTAACCAATATATCAACCAAGAACTAAGAAAAAGAAAAAAGAAATCTTTTTTTTGTTTTTTTTAAAACTCCTATATTGTATATGGGGCATGCTAGCAACCTTCTCTCTAACCTTCTCTATTTTTTGCTTGACATTTGACATGTGTCATTCCTCTCAGTGGCGGAGCCAGGATTTTATGTGTGGAGGGGCCAATATATTAGGGTTTAAGGTTGATTTCTTTTCCAGTGTTAAGCTTGTAAATAAATAAATAACCGATTATCTTTAATTTCATATTTTCTTAAATATACTTGTGAAAGAAAGATTTGATTGGCTGTTTTTTTTAATTTTTATTAATTATGTTAGTAGAATCTAGGAGTAACTTTGCCATATTGCTAAGGAAAGAGTCTTTTAGTTGGAGGGGGAAATGTGAATCCCTCTTTCTCTTTATTGTGGGGGGGCCACAAGCATTAATTTAATATATATATATATATATATATATATATATATTGTTCTAAGTTGTACAATGCAAAGGCAATATATATGTTATTTCAGAATTTTGGGAGGGCCAAGGGCCTTGCAGGCCTAAGCACACCTCCGCCCCTGATTCCTCTTACACTTAAAACAATGTCATTAATATATTATACAAGCTAACTTTTGTTTTCCAAGTTTATCCTTATTAAATGTATTCAATTTATCCAAAAAAGTCTCACAACTTTCTTACCATCTTATTAATTTTTTTTAACGTCAATTTTTTTTATTTAAGAAAATGTCAGCTTTTTAAAAAGAAAGAGGAAATGTCCTTTTTTTTTTAAACATCAAATTTAGACCCTTTTTTTTATTAATCTTCTTTTTTTTTAAAGCAAACATTTTATTTATAAAAAAAAATTGACGTTTAAAAAATTTAATAAGATGGTAAGAAAGTTGTGAAATTTTTTTGGATAAATTGAATACATTTAATAAGAGTAAACTTAGAAAGTAAAAGTTGGTTTGTATAATATATTAATGACGTTGTTTTAAGTGTAAGGAGAATGACACATGTCAAGCAAAAAAGGAAGAAGGTCCAAAGAAAAAGGTTAGAGAGAAGTTGCTAGCATTCCTCATTGTGTATATAAAGAGTTGGGATAAATTTGTTTGAAGTGGGAGATAAAAAATCAAGGCATCATGCAGTTTCAATTTCCAACGAGTGTTATGCAAAGTCGTCAACTTGAGAGCACATTTGCAGAGACATAATCATACAGTAGGAAAAAGCAAGAGGTCACTTTTCAGAGGCAAGACTTGTTTGCTGTACTGAGATGCACATGGGCACTGTCACTGGGAGTTGTGGTGAAGTCTAAAGAAAAGACTTTGGACAAGTCATTGCACCTTAGTGGGGTTGGAGTTGAGAAACACATGAAATGGGATATCGAAAGATAACTTCCCCATTAACAGTGCTGGTGTTGAGCAAGAGCATAAACATAAACATTTTTTTTTTTTTTTTTTTTTTTTTTTTTTTTTTGGGGTTAATTACCGTAAATAAATAAACAACGCCAGCAGCTTCCAGGAAACACGACATTTTTCTAATTTGTTAACTGCTTGGAAAAGCTTATGCATAGTGATTCAAAACAAGAAGCAAAATCTCATGGGATCTGAGATGACATGATTTTTGTTCAGCATCAAAAATGACCATTGCACAATAAAAAATGAACAACTTATTGTTCCCACAAAATGCATTGTGCCACGAAGTTTAAGAGTTTGGATATGTGGGTTTGTGGAAATTGAGTAAAAGGTAGAACACTGAAAGCAGGACTAGATTACAGAGTTCTGATGTAATTTCAGTGCAAAGAGAGTGAGAAAATAATCACCAAAGTTACAGAGTTTGTTAATAATGACACACTTACACCTTCAACTACAAGCCAATCATTAGAAAGGAGGAGGAAAAAAAAACTTCAATCAGATTCATCCTACTATCTATGCAAATACTCACTACACTGCTCTCTAAATTACATCCCAATTGCCTCTAGATCATTATTTAATGGTCAAAACTACATCCTAATCACAATTCAAATCAGACTAACATTGTCACAAAGTTACAGCTCACAATCCCCCATCAATTTCAGCCATTAATCACCTCAACCACCTTCTAAGGTCGCTAGTTGAAGAAGGGGAAACCTCACCACCATGACTCTCAGTGCAACAAGAAGAATAGTTAGACTGTTGCTCCGCACCAAAATGCGATGCAGCCACACTCTTGAAGCTTGGGCTCCTCAAGCTATGTCCATAACTGCCATACCCCATTGCCACACCGTAAGGATCAGGAGCTGGGAATGAAAGCCTTTTCTTTGCTGATCCAGCTCCCCGTTCCCGGTCTGGTGTTGATGGTCTTTGTCGCGGTGCACTCTGAGAGCGTATCCGAGCTTTGGCAGACTCAGTTGCTGCCATGTAATTAGGCAATGTAGCAACACTATTGCCACTAGTGCTTGTACCACCACCCCTGCTATGTTGGTGCATAGCACCGCTGTAGAAATAGTTTGACCTAAGGCTTGGAGTTTGAGATGCATTAGAGCTTCTATCTTCTCTAACACAACGAGGGCTGGCAGACCGGACTTGGATAGGCCGGGTTTTTGATGGGGAGGGTGTGACAGGGGACTGGTGATGAAAGGGTTGGCTTTGGTGGGCTCTATCTCTATGGAGTGGTGAACTAGGTCTTTGTTTTGGTGAACTGGGTCTTTGTTGTTGGTGTTGGTTGTATTGGCTTGAACTTGATCTTCGGAAGTTAGGTGCTAAACTTGAATAAGGCTGAGAGGTGTCGATTTCAACTGTCTTGATGGGGTCTCTATGGTCAGTTGAGGCTCTTCCTCTGCTGTCCCATGGCTTTGGGGCCATCCATCTATCTAACCATTTGGGTCTCTCTTCAAGCTCATCCTCATTTCCGATTGATGGGCTCCTACCATTCCTCCATATCTTTGATTATGCAGAGAAATTGAGACCAATTAGCTCATGAATGCAATAAAACCATTGAGAAAAAAACAGAGCACAAGGACTGAAGTGGATGATAAACCTGTTGAGAGAAGGCGTGGGACAAGGCTTTCTCACGCTTCATTGCAGCATCTTTTCTGTGTTGCAACATAGCTTTTACCTCCTCAATTGTGTGGGGGCGTTCATCCCAATCATCTGCTATGCTACTTCCCTCTCTAGACTGCTGCAAACAACACCCAAATGCTTTTAATTTTGGAACTGTTTATTTGGTTCTGGTAGTGGAAGTACCAAAGGGGAAGACAAGTACTTCCACTGATGTTCAATTTATAAGACTAATCATAACAACGAAGTTATATTCTAACATTATGCACTAATTAAATTGCTTTCTTACTTCAAAAGCATGAAAAGTACTTGAGTGTTGATGATTGAAAAAATGGTTGGTATTTGAGAATGAATCTAAGTAACTCACCATGGACTTTCTGTCTGAAATGTCCTGAAGATACCTTGATTCCCAAACGCTATTGGTGTCACTAAATGCAGACTTTCTGCTGCCTTCATGAGAGAGCCTGGTGCGCTGATCAAGCACCCGAGCCTGCACACGAACCAGAGCTTGCATGCACTTGAGAGTCATCTTTGCTTGCTTTCTCACATTGTGACCTCTCACCAAAGCTTGCAACTTTACAAGTCCTTTAAGCGCACGAAGTGCCCTCCTTGCCTAGAATACAAACACAAACACAAAACCATCAAAACCCAGTTCCCCTTTCTTTCATTTTAACATTCACAGCAACCAAACAGAGCTTTAGATCTACACATGTACATGTTAATTGCTGTGCACCTACCAAGTATCCTCTAAAGGCAGTCTGGATAACAATGGCATAATAGTGCTCTCTAGCATGATTAGAAGGCCTAGTTAGCCGAGCCACTTCGGCTGCTGCTTGGGCAGTTGCCATTGCAGCCTCAGCTGTGGCCACAGCCACAGCCAGCACATGCTTTTGCTCTGCAGCTGCTGAACTGTTGGCTGCTGATACATGGTCTGTGGCCTTTGGCGCTTGACCTTGTTGTGTAGCTGTTTCTTGTTGATTTAAATTTGTGGGTTTCCTGAACCACCTTCGCTTCTCTCTTTTCTGCACAAAACCCAGAAAACAGAAGTAAATTTTACCATCTCCTTCATCTGCCCAGTAACAAAAACAGAGATAAAAGAACAAAGAAACTGAAAGATTTTGGATTTTTAAGAAAATACCTTTTGATCTTCATCGTCTTTAGTGGGAGATCTGAAAGCCCTTTTGACAGCAGTCAACCAAGACGAAGTGCCTCCCTTCTTCCCCATCAAATAATACAGTAAAAACTAAAACGCAGCTGCATTTACAGCAAGTATGAGGCTAGGAAAGAGCACAAAGTACCAGATAATGCGATGTGTGGGTGACCGTGGCTTGTACGAAAGTGCCACCTCTTTTAAATCTAAAGACAGAAAATGAATGTGAGAGAGAGAGAGAGAGAGAGAGAGAGAGAGAGAGAGAGAGAGAGACTGAGGAATGTGACTTGCTCAGCCAAGCTTAAGATTCAATCAAATATTATATCTGAAAGGGTAATAAATTTGAAGGCTTTTTATCTGAAAGTTTAAAACTTTGGTATTTTTGGGGGCTCTGAAGGACGGTAATGGGTGGTGTCAGAAAGTACGTCCATAAAACTTTATAAAAATCTAAAATTTTATATAGAGGACGTGACAAAATGTGCCCAGAAAATGACTAAGTGGGTTGTGTTTGTAATTGTATACTATTCTGTGAGTGTGATATCGAGGATGTTGAAGACCGAGAGAAAAAGAAAGAAAGAGAGAGCACGTTTAGGCGCACAAGAACCAACAGTAATGCTTTTAACTTTTAAGCCAATAATTTTCCTTTTTTTCTCAAATTTTGTGGATAGAAATAGAATAGAAGAGGCTCTCTGGCTTTTTCTCTTTAAAAAATAAACAACTGGGGCATGAACCTCTCATGCTGTCACGTGGTGGCAGCAGTGGCAACAGCCAGCAGGTAGAGAGGAGGTGTTATAATGTGGTTGATGGACTACGATGGTCCCTCACACTCCACACTTAAAAATTGCATTAACATTGAGTATCTTTTTTAGTAAGCTGGAAACTGCATCTTCTGATTCAGTGAGCAAAATCTGGTGGTCCATTTTTTGGGTCTCTTGGTAGACTTGTGGCTGTAAGTGTACTGGGTTTTGACTGTATTTGGCTATAGAGCTTAATGAAACGCGTGGTCTTCGTGGTCTTCTTCAGAGTCTTCAACTCTTGGAAGACCAGTCAAACTGTCTGATTTTGATTCCTCTATTCCTGTTATGTGACCTCATTGTTCCAGAAACCCAAATTTTATAGCAGGCTTATGGATCTAGTGTCTGTCCTGTACTTCTTCTTCATATTAGTTTTGTACAGAGAGGATAAAAATTATTGCAGATAAATGCTAGGATTTGTTACACAAGGGTTTTGCTTTTGTGATCATTGGACATTATTGTGAATTTGTGATGAATTTATGGTTGGTGTTTAGCTTTACAAGTTTTCTGCTGATATCAAACTTGTTACTTGAGCAAGCTGAAAATTTTGGAGAAAAATAAGTGGGGCTTTGCATTAATGTAAAAAAGAGAGACCCCATGAGGATTTATGCAGTAAAATTTCCATCAGCTCCTTTCTGTGACAGGGAAAAGCCAATATGACATGGAATTATTGGATTGTGTCAGATTGGCATTCTGATTCTGGTTGGTGATTGATTATATATGGACCCTACAGCTGTAACTTGTAAATACCAAATTTAATTTTTCTTTATCCTTTTATGTATGCATCTAGTCACAATGATATCAGAAGAACCATCACAAAATAGTACAAAGATACCATTGGTTTAGAATTCCTGTTTCCTTTTTTGTTTTTGGTTCAAAGGGATTGAACCTATTGCATTTATAGATCTTGTTCCATCTTGTTTCTTTTTTCTGTTTTTGGTTCAACTGCAGCATGAGAAATTTCTTCTTGTTGCTTCTCTGATTCCCCCCTGCCGCTGTTGAAGAAGCTTGACAGTACCTCAGAGAGGACAATAATCTTCTTGAACTCTTTGGTCATCTGTAAAAAAAAGTAACAGAATGAAACTGTAAGTAAAGATTCACTTAGAAATGGAATGAGTTTTCCTTCTTGAAGATCACCAACAAAAATGTGAGAACCACAACTCCCCGGCAATGAGGAGACATTTTGGTGCCTTTTTTTCCCACAGGATGGACCACTTGACATAATATTATAAAGAAAGATCATGAAATTTGCATAATGTGGAAGTCAGCTAGATTGCTTGCAGGTAAAGGCATCTGGCAATAAAATTGGAAGTCCCTTTTCTCTTTAAAAAGATTTCTTAAAACACAAGTGAGAAAGGTATGCAAGATCGGGAGGAGAGTAAGACCGAGGTCCCCGGTAGTAAAACCATGTGGAACAACATACAAATAAAAATCTTGACATCTGTTGTAGAAAGAAGCTATTACAGTTTTGCAAATCAACTCTCCCCAAACCATTTATTTCTCTCTGTAACATTGAAAATTTGAAATAGTGGGTTCAATTTAAGAAAGAAAATAAAGAGGGGTTTGGTATCCTACTTGGATAGGAAACGCAAAAACTTGTATTTTTCTTAAAACCAAAGTGTTCTAAAATTCATTTTTTAAGATTCAAAAATGTGTTTGGTTGAATTCTCAAAAAAAAAAAATTACTTCCAAAAAACTCAAACGACAATTGGGTGCCAAAACCTAGGGTTTCCATCTTGGCATGAAATTTGCAAAACTCTAGAACAATGGCGGTTCTAGGGTTCAAAAGCCGATTGGACAAAACTTACATACTAAACTCTACGATACAAGTGAATTTCATTAACCTAGTCATGAGGGACATAATGAGCCTTACCCTCAAAAATTTGTTTGGTTGAATTCTTAAAAATAATTTTTTTCAAGAAACTCGAACAACAGTTGGGTGTCAAAGCTTACCTAAGGTTTCCATCTCGGCTTGAAATTCGCAAAACTCTCGAAGGCATTGGGATCGAGTTTCTTGACGGTGACGGTGTAATACTATATATGTCCATGAGTAACCTTGAAATTCGTAAAACCATTTATTTCTCTCTGTTAGATTGAAAATTTGAAATAGTGGATTCTAATTCAGAGAAAAAATAAACATCTAAGCTCAAAGAATATTCTCTTGAACTCTAGTTGGTACAAAGTAAGGCTGGACATTTGGACCCGAAACCCAGCCAATCTGCCCAAACCAAACCGATGGGTTGGGTTGGTTTTGTTTTTTTTCAATTTTTTTTTGGTCATTGGTTTGAACCCAAACCAAACCGAAATATATGGTTCGGTGTACGGTTTGCAATATTCAAAACCATGGTTTAACCAAACCAAACCAAAGATATTAAAAAATATTATATATAATATTATTATAAGAAATATATATATATAATACATAGTTTCAATATTTTCTTTTTATTCTCTCTCAATCTCTCCGTTTGTCTTGTCTTTATCAGTCCCTCTCTCTCTATTTTTATTTTCTCATTCTTCTTATATATGTCTTCTTCACGCCCTCTCCCCGTCTCCCTCCTTTCTTTTTCTCCTCTTCTTCTTATTCTTCTCCATCTCTCCCTCTCTTTTTTTCTTCTTCTCCTCCCCATTGCTTTTATTTCCTCTCTCTCTCTAAGAAAGCCAAAAAACCGAAACCGAACTAAACCAAACCACCAAGTCCGATTAACCGAAGTAATCGGTTTTCATCAATTATAGTTTGGTTTCCGTTTTCAAAATAGTCAAACTGAAGCTTACGGTTAGGTTTCGGGTTGAGCCCAAAACCAAACCAACCCAAACCAAGCCTTAGTACAAAGTAAGGAAATCTTCCATACATACAAAACCAAGCTCTCTCAATATCAGACTATCAGTTGTATTGTATCCAATTACCAAACCTTTTCATGAAGAAACCCAATTTGGCTAGTCATGAGCTGAAGGCAGTCTAGGCCCAACAGGAAAAAACAAAGAATGAAAAACTACTGCTTAAAAAGCCCTGAAGATCCACCCTATTACTTGGGCCTAGCAATTTTAGCCCATGAGAGGCTTGTCTTGATCTCCAACTCCAAACCAGAAAAACAAAAAAAGTGGCACGACCAAATAGTCTCCTCTACGTTTGGAAGTTGGTTGGACCCCTATGAATTTAGAATGATTAGGTCAAACAGTAAGTCAATTGAGTGATTAACAACAACATATAATATGTAGCACTCAAATGTCCTCTCTCTCTGGCCAAATTCTCATAGTACAGATATAGATACATGCACTTAATAAAACAAAATTTGAAAGGTAGTTTCCATCCATAGATTAAACAAGCACCAAACATTCTTTGTATTCTAGTTTTTGTTTGTATTCCAACATCCTTATCCTTACCGATTTGAAGAAAAAATGTTTCCCCAACACAAATTCTGTTAAAAACTCACATCTTTATGCAGGACCGTTCTTGAGATTTTGAGGGACTTCTACGAAACTTAAACATGAAAATACTTTTTAAAAAATTTCATAACCTAATGTCATAAAACAATCTTTTATGACTAAAATTCTTCATAAATTAGCATGTAATGACAATCAGAAATCAATTTAAAAAATACGATCATTATACTCTATCGTGCTAATTTATGATGAATTAACATGTTGGGGAGGGAGGAGGAAGCGTTTTGGGGAATATATATTGCCAACTCCGCTACAAATACTTTTTTATCAATATGTAGCATGCTAGAGTATATATACTATCGTTATAATATTAATATAATATAATACAAAGAAAACAAAATTTTGGGAGCCCTAAAAATTTAGGAGCTTTGTGCGGTGACGCCACTTGCACACCACTTGAGGGCTGCCATGCATGCATATGAATTATGTAGGTCACCTCACCACCCGTTAATGTCAATTTGAATACAACCATTATGAAGATTATGATCCTAAATCAAAACCATTACTCGTTTATAGTATTTGCTTCATGAAAAATGAGAAAATCTGATTTAAAAAAACAAAAGAATTATATTATAACAAACAAGTGGGGGAAGAAAGAAAGAACAGAAAGAAAGATAGAAGAAGAAAAAATAAAGGAATATATCACAGAAGATTGAAAAACTGCAAATGATCGCGAAATAAATATTGGAGCCTGTCTCGCTTTTGATGACCTGATGATAAATTTATGAATTTCTTAAACATTAATCAGCTCATAAAGTTCAAAAGGAATCTCTTACAAATCACGTGTTAGATTGTTGTAGGGCATGGCTGCATGTCCCCTCTTTCCAACCACACCTAATG